TAGTGCTAATTTCTGCACTTAACATAAAACAATAAAATTTGTAGAAAAAGGGACGTAAAGTTTTTCGCCGTTACGGAAATCGATCCCACTTCTTCCGGATTTGCACCCAGACGCTTTAATCCCTAAGTTAAATGGCTGTTTGTCACTGATGAAAATCTCAACGCCTTTTATCTACATTGTTTTTTCGCATTTCGAGCAATGCTTGGGGCATCTACTATTATATCCTTTACACTGTAAACTGATTTCAAATATCGTTTTATAACGATAATTCGAACGAGAGATGTCACCAATGCTACGTGAAAATTATTTTTTTAAGGTGCTAATATTTACACTTAAGATGAAACATTTAAAATTATTCGATATGGCAATCAGTTGTTTAGTAAGTAATTTAAGGACAGAATGTGTGAATCCGGAAAACCCCACGTCTTTCGGATTCGCACACGTCATTTGATTTGCTTGAAAAGCTTTCAGGTTTTTTTTTACAAATTTTAACATTGTAAAATATTTATAATATCCTAACTTTTTTAATATCTTTTTGAATCGATTTCGATAACTTAGTAATAAAGTAAATGCATTTTGTAGTATACATGTTGGGTACTGAGAAAAGAGTAGCTGGTGCATGGCCTGGGGCCTAGTGCGGCTAAGACTGTGAATTCGCCATTGTGTGGGGACATGGTTTCTTGTCGTATGTTTTAGTAAAATGTTAGGTCATTTTTTACATATTTGGTCCACAGCTATCCAGCTGCTATGTTCTGAACGTATAAAAGCTGACCTTCCTTGTTCTTTTTGCAGAGTTATCATAACGTATTATAGTGGCAGGCGGTATCAATATTTTTATATAAAAAACTATCGTGCGTAAACCCTGATAATTTCTGCACTGAGGAGGCATTTTACCTGCAGTGTGATAATAAGAATTTAGGCTTTTCATTTTCATCGAAACATACTTGCAAAGTGATTGACGTTAACCTTCGGCGTTATATAAGAAATACCTTCAATTTACAATTCTGTAATTGGATGAATGACGTTTATGATACTTTACAATCACGTCACTGCAACATCAACGTCGCAAACGTCACAATGACTAACACTTCATGTCAAACTGAAAAGGTTAGCAGCTTTCTAGCAAACATCGCATGATACTTGCATTTATTTCTGGAGAATGGATTACGAACATGTAATCAAATTAAATATATCATGTAGCTTCTGAGTTATCATTTACAGCGTTGGTGCTTATTTTGCTTTTGTTAATAGACGACTTGAAGGATATCAATAACATCCGATTAAAATTGTTTTCTATTTTAGTTTTTGGTTGGATTCATTTTACAGTGAATACTGTTATTGTCATGTACGTTAAAGAGTCCAAATATACGTGTCTCATGTACATATTTCCTACAAGTCACATTTTTTTTTGCTTCGGTCATGAGATTGCCGCTCATTCGGTATTCGGTTAAATATTCTACATCTCTCTATCAGAATCGGCCTTCTGGAACAATTCAGAACGTTTTAAGGTTGGATTAAAAACAAACAAACAAACAGTAAATATACAATTAGAAAATAGATGGTGCTGATCCAGTTTTGAAGTAAAACTTCTTTGCGGGCATCAGAATAAATTTTCCAGGCCACGTCATCAGAAGTTGTCAAAATGTAAAATCGTTAAGGTCTATGGCGTATCGCGTCACGGAATTGCTTACATTATTTTTACCTTAACACCAGGAAAACCAGTATGTATTACCAAAACACATAAAAAATATTAGTGATAGGAAACGCACCTTCGCACCAAAAAATGTTTTAAATTAATTTATAATATAAATTTGTAATATGCTTTAAATTTGAGTTCAGTACAAGAAAACGTGAAGGGTGTAGATAATAAGTGCAGTCGCGGTGGTGATCATATAAAAAATAATTAAACAAGTAAATATAATTCCTTTTCCATGTTTATTTACCGGTAAAATGTTTTTCCATTTAAGAGGAAGAAGTATAAAAATAATAAGTAGACGATGCTTTCATGCGAGAATAGGAATGTGGGCGAGCGGTACGCTTTATGACAGTAAAAAATAGAGTTAAACCAATTGCCGCAGTTGTGAAACATGTCTCTTTTTATTGAACAGCTTATTTGCTTGTATCTCACTTTGGCGCAACAGGAAAACAGAACCATAACCTTAAAATCACGTTATTTTTAAATACGTTAATTAAGTTTTATTAACTTCTATTTTATTATACAAATAAATATTACTTCTTAAAGTTAAACTCAACATACCATATTAACAGATTAAATCGGTCTCGTTGTGAATTGCTAAGTAAGGAAAGTTTGAATATTGCTATTGACATAACTTTCTTTTAGGTTCTTATAAGCTTTATTTGCTTACTTCGTAGGCCCAAGTCGGTCATAGCTACGATATTTTCGCTGTTCCAACATCGGAGCGTGGCGAACGGGATCCAGTTCGAAAACGGTTTCCAGTTTTCGATTGCTTGGAATTTTTAACTGCACTAACATTTCTCTTTATTACGTTCCATGGGGCACGAGTCGAAGTAGTAACTTTATTAATGAAAATATCAAGTAAATGAAAATTTACGTCATATTTTTTTTAATTTAAAAATCAATACATGAGACTGCAGAAATTATAGAAGCGGATTGAGAAATGCTTTCCAAGCTTAATGTAACATAACCAAATAAGCATTAAATTATAGTTTAATTATCATAACATAAGAACAATAGTTGTACAACTTTACACGCGTATTAATTTCAACAGTTCACCCGGAACACCGATATTAAGCTACTAAAAGCTAAATAAAACGTTACTTCTATGAAAAGGTAACTAACGCAACATAACAGTCTAGTCCCAACTGCGACGATAATTCAAAGTGTACCGTAAATGTTTTGCTATGCACGGTGACTTTGCAGGAGACTTCTTGCAGACATTGTAACTGAATAGTCAACATTCTGCAAAGTGTTAACGTTAAACCGGTACTTTACGACATGTGCAGGATAAACTGCAACTGATGCTGTATAGTGCGTAAAGGGAACACGTATTCGCCGTATATATTTAAAATGTTGACTACAGTATCTGTAAGAAACGTCAAGATTCAGTAGCAACGGCTAAAGAGAAACGATAAAAAGAAAACGACAGTCCCCTGTTACCTTCTTTTCTGTGTTGAAGGCGCCGGGTAAAAGCCATTGGTTTTAGAAATTTGTTGAATATGTTATTTAAATATTATGTCATCAAATAAAATGAATGGGAGTAACTAATATTTTCTGTCATTAAATAGTAACAATAAAAACTAACTACAACACCGAACCTTGGGAACCTTATTTATTATATAACCTAGTTATAATTAGTATAAAATCGACTATTGTCAAATTTATTAACCCTGTACAGGTAATTTTGTTTTCACACTAAGCATATTACTAATTCATTTTCAAATTCTAAGATTCTTGTATAGTATTTAAAATAAAATTATCACATTTTTATTAACATAGTTCAATGTTCCTAGATTTATGTCAATATTTGAAATATAAAAAAATTATAAATATAATCATTTTGAAAAATGATATTACTGGAGTGATTATTGTTATCTATTAATTGGAGCTATAATTAAATCCGCGCTTGAAGAAAAGAAGACGCCGTTTTCAAGCTACTGCGCTACAGCATTAAACTAACAGTCATAGCCATCTGTGCAAAATAATCGCATTTAGATTCCTCACTTGCCGAGCATTATCTACTTTTTTATCAATATGAAAAACTATTATCCCATGTGCGTCTTTGTTTTAAAATTATTAAAGTTGTGTTATTGGTATCCATAATGCCAAACGACTAAATACCTTCCCTTGTTTGCAATTATTGACCTGTTTTTCAGTTGTACCTGTGTTTTACATTAACTTAAAGAATGTATTTATAAATGAAGCGAAAGATTTATTTCACGTCTGCTGTAACAATTGTTTTATTACCAGTAGTAATAGACGCAGATCTCTCTCTAGAGACGGCATTAAGCTTCGAATGCCAAACTTTTGCATAATATATGTTTATCTACTTGACCAACGCGTGTCCATTCGCTTTGCAATTGAAAATGACAAAGAATAACACTGTAAAGTTATTTACGAAGTAAATTTACCGGATGGGCATCTATTTTCCAACTAAATATTTCTTGAAGTAAAATACAATACAAGATGAGAGTACATTTATTTTGCACTGAAAATAGATTTACAATATTCTATCTATTAAATGCGAGGAAAATAAAGATACCTAAGGCAGACAAAGTCGTCTCTCTTCGTCAAGCGTATAATAGAAGCGCTCGGGACTTTCAAGCTTTTTGCCATAAATAAACCTGAGAGCGGATAGAAAGGAGAAATTTAATTTCTGGTCCATTGCTTTCAACTTCAATTATTTCTATAGTTCAATCCTTAAAGAACAGATAAAGAAAACAATGAAAAATAACTATAAAGCTATGTAGCAGTCTTTGTTGTTGCACGAATGGGCAGGCTCATTCGGGGAAGTACCATAAGAACTCGCAGAAGACTGGCGTAAGTGGAAGTGTTTATACATCGTTTCGTTTGGTAAGTGGGGTACCCGAGGCCCATTTTATCAAAAGGTGGCAACGTATATGTCCATTGGCGGCTATCACTTAACATAAGGTGAATCACCAGCTTGACAAGAACATTGATAATACTGTCACATACAAAGAAATACCCGGAATTATACATTATAGTCTTTATAATAAAGTTGTTTAGGGATAAATCACTGCTTATCATTTGGATTCTAGCCTATACGTAGATATTGGTTTTATTGGAGGACTATACGTTACTATATACAGCTTAATCTGCTATGTGGCAAGTGAGATAGCGCTTGATATTTGTAAAACACTTATACCTTTTCCTCATTGGACTCTTGTAACACACACTTGGAAACCAAATATATAGATAATATCGCTTTTATTGTTGTACAACTTTTAAGAACTTTGTTCACTGCATCTATTTTAGATTAAAGTATAATATTTTGTTTCAGAGTAACTATACGAAGTTCTTAAAGAACCTTCATACGGAGCAGATTGCCAAGCTCCATGCGAAGAACCAGCATGAGTGCGATCTGTTGGAAGACCTTCGCACCTACGTCATCAAGCGCTCTGCTATTGAGAAATCTTATTCAGAGGTAACAGACTTTATTTATAATACAAAACGGATTCCTTGGCAACCTAACTTACTGAGGCAACTTAACTTACTATACGCAAACTGATATTTGCAACACCCGTACGGTGCAAATGTCAAACTGTCGTTCGTTGTGGCGTTCTAAAGGGGCGGCCTATGTTCAACAGTGGACATCTTGCGGCAGATGGTGATGTTGTAGGTTGCAGATTCGTCGCCACCTTTTAATAAAGTGGGCCCGGCTACCTCACCAAAAAGGACTCTTAAGGGCGTTGTTTAAATCAATGTATATTCTAACAGTGAATTTGGTAACAGTATACGGCAATAGAAAAACAATATGTACAAAATAATATCAATAAGTTACCGTGAGACTTCCCAACTATTTACGATAAACAGCGTCGCTATAAAGCAGAAATATTTGCATACAGCTAAGTAATAAGGTATCAGGCATCAATATGCTTATAAAGTGTAATCCTATCACATCGTCATGCGCATATATGGCTGTACATTAATACTAGCGCCTCGAAGCCCTATGTTTTCATCTGTAGAGTTGGCCTCAATGCAGCGCCTCACAAAAGCTCTCATCTCGCACTCTAAGCTAAGTCAAATCGATACTTCCTTGTTATAGATTTTGCCGTTCCTTATTCAAATTTAACTTTAGCAGGTGAACGGTATTTGAACCAGTCCGGTAATATTTCACTGGAAAATAAAAATTACTTAAACATTTATTTGGCGTTTAAGTAATTTTGCCTTTCCAGTGACGTCATAATGATTGCTTCACATATTCCATCGAACCTCTAATTATCTTCCATCTTAAAAAATAAATCTAATATTATCATTATTATATACAAATGACACAATATATATATACAGTACACGCAGTAAACATATATTATTCTTTGTTTACTATGCCGAACTAAACCAAACATTCGCATGAGATTCAATTTAAAGAAAAATCACTAAATAGTCTTCCAAAATAAATCTTCTCTTCTATTTTCATAAATATCTTAAATGAAATAAAATAACGCATGACGAAATCTATCCCCTTCTTTTTTTATGGCCCTCCGAAATATGAATCTTTCTTCAAACTAGTTTAGCCCTAACGCAATAAATTTATATACAGCGTGTCTACCATCGCGACAAAAAATGAACACACGTCTAACGCTACTTGCCAATAATCATAAAAAAATATTAACATTAAAAAAAATATTTTTCAAACAAACTAATTAAGTAAAAAAGAAATACATTACATCTGACTGATTCATACATTCGTTGCCACAGCGCCGCATTACAAGCCTGTCCTTCTAACAGTATGTTTTGTCTCTTTTAAATTCATTCAACCCATTCATATGTTTTGTGACCTTTACAAATGAACTTTACATTAAAGTTTTATACGCAAGGATGTTTCAAAAATTCTTTGTTTTGGAAAATTTGATAACTCGTTAAATATTGATGTATAAAGAATTTAAATTTTTAATACAATTTAGAAAGTTATCCTTTATATGTGTGTTCATTTATTGTCGCGATGGTAAAGACACGCTGTATAAAGGTAACATTCATTAAATAACATGTTTAACGATTTTATTAAACATCTTAACTTAATCAAAAAAAAATTTAATTAAAAATAAAGAAATTTAAAAAATATAATAAATCGGAGAACGAAACTAGTATAAGAATGAAATTAGAGATATTCTGAAAAACCTTTAACCCTAACATAAACACTGATATTTCATTATGTTATACATATATATTTACTGATAAAATATTTTGTTCAATGTTCATACCTGCAGACAGGTAAATAGACGACGTCCTGTGGTTGTTGCCGGATATGAACTCTGCTCTAGATTAATAACCGTTGGGAGTAGGTATTTGCCTAGTAGAGTTGCAGTTGAATAAATTCATGTATAGCCGTGTACTCTTTGACAAAAGTAAGCGTCTGCAATAAGTAAAATAATTGTAATTATTAATAGATATTAAAATGGTAATTGCAGTATTAAATAATGTAGAAGTGGCATTGTCATAAATGCCAGTCGTTAGCGCCTGTACGTTATTTCTTATTCTATATTAATGACGCAAATAACTCTGTGTGAAAGGTATTAGGGCATAACTCCATGCGTAACTTTACACATGTCTTTGCGCATTATTTTTGTGTGTACACTGGGCCGCAAAAATAAAAAATTGCCTAAATAAACTGTGATTCGAGTTCTTCCTTAAATATGTAATAAATGTTTCGTGAATTTGTAGTATGCAGATGAGTTAATAATACAGAAAAGAAAATAAATAAACGTTTTGCACGCTATTTAATAAAAAGACAAACGCTTAGTAAATAACTTCTAAATTATAACAAGAAAAAAGTTCATATCATGTGGCATGTTTTAAATCAAATTTTAATACGATTTTTGTCTATGTTAGCGTATATTCAAGATGTCTTTATTACCTGCATTGTGTGGCATACCTAGGCTTAAAACCTACAGAACATGTATGCCGTGATGGCCGGCATGACCGGTTCTTTTTTGGTAAATCGTGTATTTTGAAAATTAAAAATAAAGAAAGCAATGATCTAGTATAGAAAAAAAGTAAAAAAATAAATGTGTAAATGATCGTGAAACGAACCGCAGCCTTCTATTTCCGGGCCATTACCGACCGGGCTATTATAACATTATTTTTTCGGTATTCAGAATTTTATAAGCTTTTTGTCTATTAGGATTTACCTATTATATAGTTGTCGCATAGCTTTGAATCGGAATTTATTTATTACATTAGTATCGCTTATTCGCATTGATCTGATATTATTTATTACCCGATTTCAATATCAGGAATTAATAATTCCTGATTTCAATATCAGGAATTATTAATTCCTGTTATTGAAATCGAGCCGTGAAATTATCATAACTTAAATAATATTCAGAATGTACATTATTTTATATCAGCAAGTCAATCTTATTACCCTTTTAGATATTGGAAACTATAACTACTACGAAATTGCTTTGATCTTAATTAATATTCAGTGAAAATTTAATGTAACAGAGAAGCCCAACTTACAATCAGAGAGACGGCACAAAGGTTTGGATTTGCTCAGAATAGCTTTTTGTGTTAGCTAATTAATTCGCGCGATGCTGTAAAAGTTCCATAAGCCTACTCACATTTAAGTTCAAATTTATGAATGAAATTTAAAACTGATACATTTTAGAACAGTTTACATACAACCGTATTAAATACTTGTTTTTGTTCTTTGTTTTATCTATATTTAGTAAGGATTTTATGAATTTCTTAGTAAAGAAAAATAAATAATTCATCGATATTTAATTTAAGTCATGTCATAAGAAAGGAACTGCACTGAAAGTATTGGCTATATTCAAGGATTAAGGAACCTAGAACGAGCCATAACGCCCACGCAATGTAATGAAAAAAAAAAAATTTTTATACAATATACTTTATTTATGGAGTTAATAAATCACTGGATTGTGTATATAGTTTACATGACATATATACATTTACATAATTTAACATATAATTCAGGAGATTTAAAAGTTTAAATTGATTAGCGTTAGACGTGTGTTCATTTATTGTCGCGGTGGTAAGGACACGCTGTATATGTTGTTACCTACCATAAAACCGTTTAAAAACATTACATTGTTGACAAAGATTTTTGAAATGTCGATGACTGAATAAGTTTCGAAAAGGAAAATGATAATTTAAAGGATTACGGTCGAATTGACCAATAATTATTTTAGTAATCGGACTAGAATTTTATTATTGAATAACATCGTTCAACGTTACGGACGTACGTAACACAATTCAAATGCGTAGAGGTCGACGTGAACAGTAATGACGTTGACTTAAATTCTCGCTTTCGTAGACTAACGATATTATTAAGGGGGAAACATCGATGCAACCCTGCAACTAATTCTAAAAGAGACATTTTTTCGCAGGCCCTGTTGAAGATCTCGTCGGCCTACCTGAATAAGAAAATACCGAACATTCCCGACATTAAAGTTGATGGAGCCGAGGAGAAATGGTTTGTAAACACTTTGATTATATTTGCTACTATTGCGTAAAGAATGTGCTATGCGAATTGACTTTATAGTAAATACTAGCTGACTCGGCTTGTTGTTGTATATAAAACTTGTTTTGCCATATAAATTATTTCTAGAGGAATCGGAACACTCGCATAAAATTTTTGACAGGTTACACAGACATAGTTGACAGGTTGACAGGTACAGTTTGAATGGGAAAAGAAAATTGTTGCCATTTTGATTTTCCATGCAATTTTTCCTTAATGTCTCATCCTTCCCTGGACTGCCACAAATATTTCAAAACCAAAATTAGCCAAATGGGTCCAGCCGTTCTCGAGATTTAGCGAGACTAACGAACAGCAATTCATTTTTATGTATATAGATTATCATTATATTATAACATCGTTTTCCTTATTTCCTAATTAATTTATGTAGCAAATACTTACAAAAGTCTTAAATAGTGATTGTTAACATTGATTTTATATAAAGCAAATATATATATATATATATATATATATACATACTTTATAAAGTTTTTATAAAACATCGGTATATAATAATAATTTAGGTAAAAATAAAAGAAAAGAAAAAGGAAAAAGTAATGAGGATTCCGTTTCCTTATAATAGGATGGAAGGTGGAAAGAAGGATTTGTATTATTATAACCTCCGAGGAGTAATTACATAAGACAATTTTGTATTAAGGAAAAGTGTTCTCGTGTATATTATTAGTAAATTGACGCCTATGGATTTTTATAAATAGCTGGTGTCGTCCTTCATCGGGTTCGACGGTTATTGTTCAATGGTTTTCATAATCTTATAATAAAGGATAAGAGATACGCCGCGACGTACATGGTTCGAGTATCGAACTTTGTACTGTTCGGAAATGCTTATTCAACTTCTACTTGAAACTCATTACGAATAACTTGCAAAGCTATGCTATAGCGATGGTTGCTATACATTGTATTTGTGACAGGCAGGATTCTAAATCTATTTCATTAATAGTTCGCCGCATTTGTTAGTGTTTTTTTATTTCTTTAATATGATATCTAACCTTGATCAAGCAAAATTATTGGATTATTAAATTTCAGCAAACACAACCCCAATCTTCATAAGTTTGATTATACTGTATGTCAATGTGGCAAGCGAAGAGTGCACTGTCGTACACCGGTAGGATTTTTTGTATTTTTCCAAAAAATAACACAATGGACTCGAACGAATCAGAGGTCACACTGGATGCGAGTTAACGTCAGCCGAAACCGAAGAGTGACATTTTTCAAACGATTTTATTACAATTTTCAAATATGAATATCATTATTTATGTTCACCATTGGCTTGCAAACTAACTTCGCAATATCGTCAACGGAACTCGCTCTGATTGCGCCAGAGTTTTAGTCGCATCAAGTCTATGCAAATACTGACAGATTGTTTGAACTAGCATCAAACGCCTAGACACCTGCAGCGTTATCTGTTTTGCCTTTCTATCTAGCTTATGTATGCAGATTGTTATATCGCGATCGCTTCTTGTTGTTGTACCGTGCTGTGCGGTGCGAAATTTTAGTTGAATGATGTCTTTGTGGGATACCTTTTAAAGGTGTTTACGGCAAGATTTTTTTGTAAAGATCTCATATATTATTTAATATGTGGAGGCATTAGATTATTATTTTTATTAAAAAAATATTGTAGTTGAAAAGTAACTAATATCATTGTGTAAGTACTTATTATCTGTGGTGAGGCCCAACAACCGTTAGCTGTTGCACGAATAGGCAGGTCCGTCTGGGGAAGTACCACGAGCTGATAGAAGGCCGGCGTGAAGTGGAAGTGTTATAATTCTGCGTTTCGTCTAGTGAGTGAGGTAGCCGGGGCCCACTTTAATAAAAGGTGGCAATGCCTCTGCAACCGTACGGATGTTGCAAATGTCCATAGGCGGCTGTTATCACTTAACACCAGGTGAACCTCCAGCTCGTTTGCCACCCTTTCACATGAAAAAATATTATCATGCAAATTCAGCGACGATCCAACACAGATATATATTTATGTTCATGCTACAATATGTATACTACATATATATATATCATGATATTATTACGGCGCCGTGGAGTAATAGAGACCGACAATTGAATGTAGGCTTTTACAAACAGTAATTTTACAACCATTAGTTCCATAAAAAACCTGTTTTGTTCAAATAAGTAATGTGTACTGCTTTATTTGTCATGCTGCTTTATATGTAATGGAAAATCCGTAATGCTGTTTGCGCACGTCATATACAATAGCCGAGCTAATTGCAATAATTGCATGTGTTGGCGTTTCATTTATTCGCCATACATTCGTTAACGTTGTTACGTTACTTCCTTACAAATAACTGTCACGTTTTTACAGCATTCATCTTTTTAATTATTATATAAGGTATTTCTACTTTATTCCTATATTCCCATTGCGGATTTAGTGTAAGTTAAGTAAGGCGAAATTTACCTTCGTATTCTAATGATATTATAGCAGATTTTCATTGCCTAAAAGGGATAAACCAAAGTTTTTTATATTATTGAAGTAAAACTTCTTTAGGCGCGACTAGGGAGTAACTCAGATTTTTTCTGACGGAAGTAACGCTTTTTCTGACGGAAGTAACGTCATAAGTATATGTCATATTTTTAAATTATTATTATTTTTAAAATATGACATATACTTATGACGTTACTAAACATTTAATCATTTCAGTGATATATGCCGTCAACGCCAAAGAAGTTTTACTTCAATCGCGCGTAAAGGTTACACGCACACACTTTTTTTTAGATAGGTAGATACAGATGTATTCAATATATAATATATTATATGCTAAAATTAATAATAATTGTATTAATTGTTAATTTTACGCCTTGAGGGTAGAGTAGGGAGGTAGAAATCATTTTGTATTTTTTATAGAAATCAGACGTTAGTTTTATTGATGGCAAATAATAATTCGAAGCACGTATGACACTAAAAATTGTTAGTAACTAGTAGGTTGAGGTGATTTGATTCGTAATGATATACGCGAGGGATCAAAACCTTTTTTTATATGAAAAGTTGTCACAGGAGCTGGCGGCTCTAGCGATGTTAACCGCCGCCCATGAACATCTTCAAAATTTCAGGATTTGCGGCTGCATTCGGGCATCAGCAGAAGCTGCTTTGTGGCCCTAGCATAGGGGAAAAATTGTTCCTCTTTTAAATATTAATTTTTTTTTTAATTAATTGGGGCATTAAACACAGAAGACAGAAGACAGAATTTCGAGTTATTGTACTAAATGGATAACTTAGACCAATGTCCGCGAAATGATATTAAGTAAAATAAAAATAAAAACGAGTGAGTCAGTTCCTAGCTTAATTCGGATATTACCACTTAAGTATTAATGTAACCATTAGTTTAAATTATTGTTGTGATAATGAAAACAAATCACAATATCATCATCATCATCATTTCACCCTGTTTGAGTCCACTGCTGAACATAGGCCTCCCCTACAGACTGCCATGAAGTACGATCCTGAGCCACCTGCATCCATTGACTTCCCGCACATTTGCACAGGTCGTCACTCCATCTAGTGGGGGGTCGTCCTACACTGCGATGGCCAGTACGAGGCTGCCACTCGAGAACCTTTTTTCCCCAACGGTTATCGGTTCTATGAGCTATATGGCCAGCCCATCGCCACTTCAGCTTGCTAATCCTCTGAGCTATATCGGTTATCTTGGTTCTACTGCGGATGTCTTCGTTATGAACTCTATCACGCAGAGAAATACCGAGCATAGCCCGCTCCATAATTAAATATCACAATCACATCATATTATCACAATATATAAATATAAATTTACATTAACATACAGCATAAATGATTAATATACTGCCCAGCATTTGTTCATTGCACTACACTTTTCAGTGTAGAATAGATGGGACACGCGTGTATTAATTACGTCTTATAATTTTTCTTCGTACAATACGAGTATAAACAATCTTGTTAGTAAGCTCCATACAGTCAAACAGCATGACCATAGTGAGAGTGCGTTTAATTTTAATTCTTCATACTTTCATTTTATTTCGAAAACCGAAGATGAGACATACTTCGCTTTCTTTTTATGATAGAAGGTGGCAAGCGAGCTGGCGGTTCACCTGATGTTAAACCTGATGACGTCGTTAACAGAAATGGAGCTCACGCGTGAACATTTCCGTGCCATAATTTATCACAATTTTCGTCCGCATCTGCTCGTATGTCACATACGAGTAGATTCGGACTTCGTTCGTTCGCTCCCGCAGCGTGTCGAAGAAAATAATCGCTACGTTTGTCTCGAAAAAGGGGCACGTTGTTACAATTCCTTTACAGGAACACAGAATGGTTAGCGCTGAATGGTATATCACGGTTTGTTTGCCAGAAATGATAGACGAACTCCAAAAAAATTATCCGAAACGTCGCATCATTTTACATCACGATAATGCGAGCCCCCATACGGCTCGGAAGATAGTTGATTTTTTGAAGCAGGAAAATATTGGGCTGATGAGCCATCCTCCGTACAGTCCTGACCTGAGCCCAAATGATTTCTTTACATTCCCTTCCTAGAATGAAAGATTTATTACGCGGTCCAACGGTTTGAAGACCCCGAAGCAGCTGTGAAAGCGTACAAATTAGCCATTTTGTCAACATCAACTTCAGACTGACTTTAGCTGTTTTAATGATTGGTTTGCAGGAATGAAAAAGCGCATTAAGTTGAACGGAGAATACTTCGAAACACAATAAAATACAATTTAGCTATACCGTGCATGTGGTTTTTCTTATTCCCGATCATTTTAGGGTGCCTCTCCGTAGCCCAGAAATATTTTATAATATAAAACAGTAATAGCGTTGTTTATTTAGTATCCACAAAAGAGATATCAGTATGAAAAGCAATCCATTAACGTCTGTCATTCTACGTTTGATCCCCCAGAGATAATCAAAATACGATTTATAGTAGCTATTTTTAAGTATTCAACAGTGCATGCATATTATGAAAATTTAGGTTACACAAAATTGAGTTGCAAATGTGAAATTTTGTATTTTGATTCAATACGAGTTGCTTACGTTTATTCTATGTTTACATTTAGTGTGAATGTTACATGATTATATGAAAAGAAACAAAGTTACTAATTAATGGAATAATGCTAAAATGGATTATTTAAGTGATAAGATTCAATACGGTCTTTTCTAAATTATCTCGTTGGCATTAAGAATTTGGCGTTGGCAATTTTTCATTTTAGATAGAGTACCACGCGCACCAAATCCGTGTGTCGCCTAGTAGTGGTATGCTGGCTAAACTTTATCTAGCTTATTTAATCGTCATAGTAACTAGAATTTTTCTGCAGAAATGGAAACATAAATTATTATTTTGTTTGCTAAGCTGCTAAGAGGTAGGAGGTCGTTTTTTTTTTTAATTTAACGACGGGAAATAGTTTGTATGATTACAAATATTATTGTCAATATTTTCGTTTATTTAATGTGCAATTTATATTTACAAATTTTGCTAAAAATGTATATTTGTATAATATAAAAAATATATGTGTAAGTTAAAAAAACATAATTATACTAAAAAAGTAAGCTATATATAGGTACATAACTTACCATTACTTACTTACTATTTAGTAAAATTATGTTTTTATGTAACCCTTAAGAAATACTGGCCGAAGCGTTAGTCACCTTAACATAATATGTACGAGTATGATGATATGTAAACGCTATAGGTAAAATTTGTCGTACAGATGCAGTCAAATATTATGTCCGTTCATCGCTATATTGGAACCTTTTTGTAGGAACATGTGGAATGTATGGCGCACGGTGTTGGAAGAGAACGAGAAGTTGGCACGCGCGCGTCTCGCTGCCGTGGAAGTGTTTCAGCAGCAGATTGCAGATGAAGCGAAGTTCCTCCGCTCTCACAAGCTGAATGTCGCTAAGAAGGTAACTTTCCTTTTCTACAGTCAACTCAACATCCATCCTTAAGTGTGAAAATTAAATTACGAGTTTTAGTATGTACTTTTTATTTATATATACTCATGTCCCACTGCTGGCTAAAGGCCTCCTTTGTATTGAGGGTATAAATAAAGGCATAGTCCAACAACGCGGTCCCACTGCGGATTGGTGGACCTTCGAAATATGTTTTTCGTTATTATTTCGAAAATATGCAGGTTTCCTCCCAATTTTTTCCTTCCCCGCTGACCACATGATAGGTCAGCACTTAAAATTAACAATTTCATTGGTGCCGGCACCGTGGATGGAAATCCGGTTGCTCGAGTATATTGAACTAAAGGCGAGTGCCAGGAAACTAACCCTGGCTCTTTTATTTAGATCTTTAATATTATTTTTTTTACATTTAGATTAATCGCATAAAATAAATAAGTTACTTAACAATTTAGGCGTTGAGGTGAGAGAGCAGTCCATAACTAAAGACTTATTAATCTTTACTTGTAACAAAACAAATACTGCTAAATCTAGGACAGCTTTTCTAGGCATGAAAATCAATTTAACTATTGATAATTAGGACTTGGTTAAAGCCGATCTAGTATAAAATATCATATATTTAAAAGTTTGTGCTAATAAAATAATACAAAAGTATTAACTAATAAATTGTTTCCGTATAAGGAAATTATTGATATTTTCTACGAGCTCGGTGTTGCAAATCTGAAGTGAGGGGTGGTATTCTAATCTAGACTTTATTATATTTTTTGTGTATTTTTCCGACGTAGAAAACCAATTTAATTCAAAATATTACCTAGGTAAATTACAAAGGTAGGTCTAATCGGTTCGCTTCTGTCAGTATTGACTTTATTTTGACTAAATTAGTTCTGATTTAAGTAACTACTTTCTAATTTTCATTATATGTACCTTTGAAAACTCTTTCTGGAAATCCAAGACCTAAGGATACAGGAGGTACCCTCCTTACTTTCACCTTACGGCCCACATTTAAGATTACGTAGCCACGAATTTTCTTCGCAATTTCCTTTCAAAGCTCCCTTCGTAATAATTTTATGACTCCGTACCGTAGTTGCCAAGGTCGGGGGTCGTGGGTTCGATTCCTACACGGGACAAATATTTGTGTGGCCCACAGATAGTTGTTTCGCATCTGGGTGTTTGTTCGCGTGAAATTTATGTTTGTAAAATGTACTTACAACACAGGATAATGTTATCCTAAACTAAAGGCAATTTAAAAAAAAAATGTTGTTCATTATTGTCATACTATGGAACTAGCATAATTCTATTGGATTGCGAGAAAATTAATGTAATAACTGCTGTCCATGGTAAGTCGGCGTTTATCCTCCCTACAAAAGCACGTCTTGTTGGAATGGTAACTCGGTTTACTGGGAAATAGAACAGTGAATGTAACAAATAATTAGCAATTATTTATTATAATTAAGTACAACAAATCTACCGTCGTAGTATAAACGTAGATGTTTCAGCCATATTAAAAATTAAAAAACAAAACATTTTTATCACATGTATTCACTTTCCCTGATCTTAATACATTTGGTAAATGTATATTAATAAAGTTGTGTCCAGAATTACCAGTTCTTGCAAAAAGGGCTATCGCAATGAAATGAAAAATCTGGGCAGTCAGGACTTCATCTGCATGGATTTAATTATTAAACAAAAATGATTGTTAAGTTCACAGAGCTCACAAAATGTTAATTTATTATGAAGACCCACAGAGTCATGACAAGCGATTGACTATGAGCGACCTTAACTCGCAATAAGCGGCCTTGACTAGTTGATTTTATTAAACATAAATGACAAGTAAGACGGGAAAGATGAACAGATAGTGATTGGTCAGCCTAAAAACTTTTTTTAAAATAGGTAAAACAGGAATTTTGGTATACATTTCGTGCTAATTTTCATATATGCATTAAGTAAATAGCTACCTACCTATTTGGATCTTTTCCAATAAGTACTTGCATTTTATTTATTACAAAACATTTAGGAAATAACTCGTAGACAGTTTTGTGAAGTCTTCATATTTTCATTAGAGTAATGAATAACGAGAGAAAAGAAAACATTCTGACTTGGCAATGCTTTTAGCTTTATGACATCAGTGTTGGACCTTAACTAGGGCTCATTTATCACATCCTTTTTGACATACGTCAGAACTGCTACAAAGTTTTTAAGAGCAGAGGGAAGAACAGACATGTATACTTCCTGTATAAATTGAAAGTCTATAATGAAACTCGCTTTGTTGTTTTTACACACGCAAGGTAACAACCTTCAAATAATATCGCATAATAGCATAATTAATTTATTAGTTACCCTTACATGATCATCCTGCAAAACAAATTTTATTGGACACATACTGAATAAAAATCAATTTCATTCTCGTGTTCAAATTTGTTGACATAAAAAGTTAAGGTTATTCCTGGATCCAAGTAATTCAGTTTGCTGTACATACGATGTTAAAATTTATTATGCATTAACTGATCAATCTGATGCAATTAGTACGGTGTTTTCCCTCGAATAATGTATGTATTCATTACGGTTATAAAAGAGATATCGGCTCGTAGGAACCAAGGCATGCGTAGATATAAAATTTTTCTACTTGAACATAAGTTAAAGCCATATAAATTCTTATGTATACCGTGCATACATTGCACCGGTAAGAGATACTAAGGGACGTATTTTCATAATTCTCTTATAAACTACAATTCATCATATTAAGTAGCGATGGGTTCTTTTTTCAACTTAACGTCGTCAAGTAATACATAAATATTGGGATCGGGCGACGGTTCGCGGGTTCTCACCATCCATGAAGCACAAGGACTAACATACGTGTCAATCGCTCTCATGCATACAAAAGTAAGCAAGCACACAGCTGCACGACAGCGTTCAGCATGCCGTAATGGCGGTATCTCGGCACACGGTCAGTTGTGTTTACTACACAGACGACTGTGACGACGCAGCAGGCCGCCTTATCCAAAAAGCCATGGCGACATCAACCTGCAAGATAAGAGACTTTAACCTTAAAATGGCAATTAGGAACAGAGACGCAGCGGTCGCAGAGAGACTAGCTAAGAAATAACACCTATTACCTAACAACCTGCGACGACGATGATCTCCGTTCATTCTCCCTATAACAACAACTGTGCAGGAAAAATAGTTTAGTTTGTAATTTATCAAAAATATATATAAATTAATTATTATATATTAAAAAAAATCAATAAATATGAACTCACTGCTGCACCGTTACCAGCCCGTTTGATGTGCGCAGCGGTGACAGCACAAAAAGAAAAAAAAACGTGTTAATTAAAAAAGAGTACGGACCACGAGTCTGTAGAGTTAGTTTTAAAAAAAATATTGAGATTATATTTATTCATTATTTTTATATAATTCTAGTAAATACCAATTGCAGTCTTACTTGCAAGTTCCTACTTACGGGCTTGCTGGAAGAAATTTCATGTTCATGAAATAAGCATTGCCTTTGTGCTAAATTTTTTTATGGATTTTTATGTGTGATGTGCATAATAAATTGTTGTATTAACTTATTTCCAACATTTTAGTAATTTCTATGCCACACCTATTTTAGAAATACATTAAACAGGTTTGCTCTCAATTTCAATAACACCAGCCTCCATCAATCCATAGATATTTGCAATATATTCCTGCATTTATAAATAAATTGTAAAGGAAGTTAGCTTTATTGCAATACATCAATAGCTCATCAATTGACCTCATGATATACTGCAAATATATCACCACGTAATAAATTTTCTCTCATTTTCCAATTCAGTTACAAACATGCTAATAGGTTACATTCGTAATTAAGTTCGAAGTGCACTAATTCGTTCTCTTTTGTGCCGAAGCAGACGGGGCCTTGGGTCCTATGCAATTAATTAACGCGACGTAGTGCGTTTCCTAATAGTATTACTAAAGCTCACAGAATTTTCCCTATAAATGACCGGAACCGCGTCAAAGCGCACGAGGTAAATAAATTAGCCCTGTGCAGGCTGTGGTTTTGAGCCGCACGTTGAACACGTTGCTGAAATTGATCCCCGTTTATTGGCACACAAAACCTGCTTTTACTGATAGGCTCTACATCACGAGAAGTGGATTACTAAAGATGAAATTTAACTGTTCACTCTTGTTCATATCGCTTTACAGCCGGTTTCAAGATTCGTTGATTTGGTTACTGAAAAAATTTTGTCATGAATATTACTGAGCTGATGTCTAATACCTATCTCTAGTCACCAAATATACAGATAGATAGAATATTGGAACCGGCTGTTAATAATCCTTTCCAATCAACTAAAATCGACGACAGTGAGGTTTTTATGGAAATCAACAAAAAAAATACTTAAAAGAAATAGAAGCGAAGCTCTTATTTTTTCTTATCTTAAGAGACCAGGGTCAGTAGTTACGTTTCACTGGTCCATGGTATTTTTCGATTTTTTTTTTTATATTTATAGGTTTTACTTGGATAAATTAATCGAATAACTTGAGTATATCAATTATTTGGTCCAGTAGAGAAGTTCATTATTTTACTGTAAGTTAAGTTCATGGTCCAACTATAACATAAATGTTTAGCGAAATTATCTATTATAATCGACTCGAATAGCGTTACATTGTATCATAACACTTTAGTCTTCGAATATATGCTAGTAGATATAGGTATTAAAGTTGTCGACTTTTCACTCATACCCAATTTGGAAATGAATAGTCACAGTAGTTACGTTTGATTTAAGTTTATATGAACTTTGTTTACTTTTAAAGCACCGAAGAACCGCTAACGAACTCTGCGGGGTGAGTATATATAAATTAATATCGTGTAACTTAATAGCTTACTCCATGGTATCAACAACCCAAAGTGTGTCCCATACGAGGCTCAGGTAAATGTGTCGCTTATTTATATATAACTCACTAGTGTACAGATTTGCTGGCTCAAGCGCATAAGGAACTGCAGTTGACCGTTATGGATGTAGACAAGACCAAGAAGTTGTACTTCGATGAGGAGCACACCGCTCATGATGTCAGGGATAAGGCGAAAGACATCGAGGAAAAGTAAGTCAACTTACTTATTGTAGGATGCCTCTAAGCAAATTACATTGTTTTAAGTGATATCTTATTATATCTTTGGAGTAATAAAGTCAGTAAACTTATGTATCAGTAAACTTAACAGTAACGGGTCATTTTTTTGATATTGACTTACAATTTTAAGCACTATTGTGAATATAAGTAATTTCGACCATAATAATGCCTTAACACAAGTAGTAAACGGCAAATGCACTCGTAAAAACACAGTTTCATACAAACTCCCGACATGCAATGACTATTACGTGTTATTTCTGAGTAATAAATAACTATGTCAGCCTCATTATTATTTTTGAAGTTCACATGCAAAAAAAGCCTTTTTAAATATGTCAATATTCTTTTAATAACTTGTCTTTGTAGACTTGGACTTACTTATCAATGAAAATTCTTTTTTTCTTTACTTTTCTTTTTATTAATTGATTTTTACTGCGTGCAATTTTACCTTATTTTACCGTAAATTTTAAATTTTAAGTAATAGTAGTAATTTTGGTCCAATTTTTTGTCGCTGAATTGCTAAAATACCTTTACTGAAATAATTTCATCATTTATGAACTTGAAATATATTTATTATACCATTTATATTAAAAATTCTATCAATATAAAGTCTGCCGAATGAAGATACATCATTCTTCTGCTTAGTAATCAGAACGTTAACACACAAAATACATAGATTCGGCCTCAGAGACAACTCAGCCTTTGCATGACAAACATGAAAGCAAACTTTAGCGTAGCACTCTCCAATATTGCGTCAAGGTACTATCTAGCAACTTTAAATTGCAGTAACAACGGGAATTAATTCACATTCCATATAAAAGATTAGTAAGGGCAAAAATTATGAAATATCTTTGAAATAGCAAGATTATCTTTAATTTTTGTAATAAACGAATAGAAATGTTTTTTTAACTTACTTTACTTTTCTTTTTATTATTTAGTTTATGTATTCTTATTAGAAATTATATTAGTTTCAAGAATTCAAAAAAATTTTTTGAAGAAATTTGACAATAATTCTGTCATGCTACATTAGGCATTTCAATTGGAATGTGTTAATTAAAAATATTGTAAGCAACATACACATAGTACACATAGTACACACATACCAAAGTTTAGGTAAATAGCGACGTATACTCAAATACGAATCTCGAAATTACATATAAAAATATTTAGCCGTCCAATTTCTTTACAACGTCTGTTCAATGGACGACGATTTTGTTTCTATTTTTCAATTCAGGCTGAAGAAAAAGAAAGGCTCCTTCTTCCAATCCATTACTTCACTACAAAAAAATAGCGCCAAAGTGTCTTCTCGTCGTGACCAACTAGAGGAGAAGTCTACTGGAGCCAGAAATGATTATCTTCTGAGCATCTCCGCAGCTAATGCTCACCAGGTATAAAAATGTAAATGTTATTCGGCGACAAAATTAAATAACTTCTATAAAACTTTTAAATCATATTTGGTACTAAATTTAACGAGTAAAGAGCAGTGAAAAGCTTCACTAACATGAAGATAAGTGCGTGAAAGACGGAGCCTTATGCACCGATGTTTCCAGAACCGCTATTTCCTGGTGGAGCTTCAGACTTGCATGCAAAACATGGAGTCATCTGTATATGAGAAAGTGTCTGAATTTCTGACCTTAATGGGGCGCACCGAACTGCTGACCTGTTCAGCCACACAACACTCTTTTGGGAAAATAAGGGATCAAGCTCAGCAGCTGACCAGGGAGTACAATTTGCAGTGTCTCTATTTGTACTATCCAGTACTGAAACAACATATTCAGGTACGTAACGTTTAGAATACTTGAATGGGCTCCCTCTTTGCAGGTCTGTGATCTGGGATCCGGAACATATGTTACTGTATAACAATACAAAGAAACGATATCAGAATTTTTTATGAGCAACTACGAAGGCCTATGAATTTATAATAAACGTAACATTAAGTTGCATATCGAATATTAAATATGAGACATAACATGTGGGGATGATATGGAAAACCTTTAATGACGCAAGAAAATGTAAAGTCAATTCCTTCCATTAGACAAAAATTTTAATTTTATGTATAATAGCACTAATATTGAATTACGAATACGGACCAATGTGTATTTGTTTCATGCAGTAGCGGCCAGAGAGATTCGTATGAAGTTTTGCTAATACGCCAATGTAAATAGGATACCGTTATATGACACAACTTGAATATCTTACTTTAAAAATAACCTCACGGGGAAGTTGCAATAGAAAACATAAAGCTGAGTATGCAACTTTATTTTAGTATGAGTTCGAGCCGTGCGATAATGATCCAGTTGATACTGTGACCATGGAGCATGAGTCAGTGTCGCAGACACTTGCACAGGAAGCTCGTCGTTGGGCAACGCGTGTGGTGCGTGAGACTGCTCTCGTCAGGGACGCAACACGTAAACTTCATCTTTACCAAGCCATGCGCGATGCTGGACAAAAAGTAAGCCGTGATCTTGACATGCATTCCTTCAGTAAATGGAAATAAAGGAAATAAATAAAAATTATGTATCTTTCATAACCCTTAGGTTGATCCGAACGACCCTAATGGGCCGGAGCTAGAAGTGCGAATGGATGAGCTTCGATCCAACATCCGTCGCTCTGAGATATCGAAGGCCAAGTACGAGGCTAGGCTTGAATGCTTGAGAACCAGCGGGGCCCCTGTAGATGAGTGGCTAAAGGAAATAGATTTGCTCGCAGTACAAGATACGCTGCCACGCAGTAGCAGTCTTCTGAGTGTGCGCACTGATGCATCGGGTGCAGCTGTAAGTGTGCGTGTTTATGTAATAATTTTTGATAATCTTATAAAGTCTATTTTAAAACTATGGGATGCTCATACCGTTACTTGATTTTGTATCAGGATCAACCCAGCTCGGATTCATTTTATGACAGCGATAACACTGAAGGGGAGGCAGCAACATCTGCAGCTGCGACAGCTGGCACTTCTGGCCACCAGAGAACCACATCTGATTCTCAAAACGAGGACGAGCAAGATGATGAAGTTGATGGTTGTGAGCTCAAATCATTTATCAGTGAATAACTCTTCCTATAATAGAAAACTAACATTTCCTTTACGTATTGTAGCGGAATTGGAAGAAGAACGCATGCGTATAGAGCAGTTAACCGTTGGTTGGGATGATCCAACCCAAGTTAGTTGGGGCGAGACCGAAGCGGAACCCGCAGCTGCTGAAACAACTGAACCTCCTGCGGCTCCTCTGTATAAATGTACAGCTTTGTACTCATACACGGTAAGTTATTTTAATGCTACCTAGTTTATTCGCGAAAGGACATAAATGATATGTTATATATTTCGAATTTCAAGGCTCAAAACCCAGATGAGTTGTCGATCATTGAAAATGAGCAGCTGGAAGTAGTTGGCGAAGGAGATGGTGACGGTTGGCTGCGTGCCAGGAACTATCGTGGTGAGGAAGGATATGTACCGCATAACTATCTTGATGTGGATAGGGAACAGGTGTGAATGAAATTCATTCATGTAATTAAATAAAATAGGTGTTAAATATATACTAATTATGCTTTTATGGTAAATATAGGCGTCTAGTGCACCAGGGCTGGTTGCCCAGATATCTTTCTCCTCCGTGGATTACACAGTGGAAGGTGAAGACGCGGAAGTTGTGCAGTCCCCAGATCAGATTTCAGTTATCTCGGCACCAACCGCTAAACCTGAGGAGCCGAAGGTTGAGGAACAAGCTAAGGCTGAAATACCCCAACCGATAACCTTGCCAACGCTTGGCTATTGCTTTGCACTATATGACTATGATGCTGAGGCCAACGATGAACTCAACCTTGAAGAAGGACAGGTAAAAATTACTTTAAATCCGTATAATATTTAAGGGCAAAGTGGGTTTTGAAACATCGAAATATTCTCTTTATTTGATCATAGATTATTCGTATCGTGTCACGTGATGCCCACAATGTGGACGACGGATGGTGGCGTGGGGAAGCTAATGGCATAATCGGCAATTTCCCGTCTCTGATTGTCGAGGAATGCGACGAGGTAAGTTTTTTATATATGACAAATGTTATTTCATTAAGTTATATAAACATTCATTTACTAAATGTATACGTATTTAAGCAGAAAACATAATGTCAATATATATTTTGCTTACGAATCTAACATTTTAGTCTATCATTTTATTTTTTTTAACACTATGACTGACTCTTCATCCTACTTTTTTGAGCCATACTTTTGTTTGTATGCTGCCCAATCCCTATAGGGCATTTATAATTATAGCACAAGTTATTTTTAAAATACTTTTTTAAAACTCAACTAAATTTTCAATCACAAAATCAATATTAAGAACTACATTGAGCTTGACGCTGTTCCCCTTACAGTTACTGAAAAAAGAAACGTAGGCTGTTGTGTAGCTATTTTTTTGGTGCCATTTAAATATGCACGATTAGTCTTTCATTGCTCTAATTGGTACAGGCATTTCATCGTGCTACAATAAACATATTTGTATCGTCAATAAAACACGGTAAACTCCATTTGAACATTCAATTCCTAAAAGCACCAGTAACATTAACCGAGAGTTTAATTTAGATCTACCCAAAAAAAATAATTGAAACACCAAATCAAACATCCAGTAGTAATGTACAGGCATTTCATCGTGCTACAATAAACATATTTGTATCGTCAATAAAACACGGTAAACTCCATTTGAACATTCAATTCTTAAAAGCACCAGTAACATTAACCGAGAGTTTAATTTAGATCTACCCTAAAAAAATAATTGAAGCACCAACTCAAACATCATAATGTAAAACGCACAATTAGAACGGTGAACCGCTGAGCATCGGAGAAGATTGGACCCCACCAAGCTCTGCGCCACCAGTATTTGTGTCTCCACCAAGGTCACCTGATGCTGACTTTGACGATGAGGGTAAGACTTTTTTATTCACCTTTTACTTTGATCTCTGTCTCTATCTGTCCTTTGAATATATACCGCTCGCACTCGAACAACTTATTCTACCTCTTCTTTCTACTAATTTCATACTTTCTTAATTAACTTACTTTTGGATGTATGTGATTCCTATCCCGAAACAAATTTAGCCAACAACGAGTTGTTCCCGTTCGAACGGCAAATGTCTTGTAGATTTTGTTGCGTGTATTATATGTATCGTATTTTAATACTGTAATGTTTCACATTGTAGCGGAATATTATGCGGTTAATCACGCGATAGATAGCTTTTTGGCTGATTGGGTAATTGGTTGAAATTTTAATCCCCAATTGGCATGGTATTTTGTTCTTAATTGAATGGCACGCTCTAAGGATCGCGGTAGTATCGTACTACAAAAATCATAGGTCACCCACATTATCATGTTTGCATGTACTTCGTATCTTGTGCTGCACGATAAAAGTTCTAGTTTTAATTTTGTCAAAATATTGAATATATTATGAAAGGTAATAATTACCTTCTATCATTTATTTTTTAATAACTTATAAATTTTGCCACGAGAACATGAATATTTGATAAATATCACACAAATATTAAACAATTAATTATTACATTTATATGAAAAAATAAAATAACAACATCCTGGTTTGAAAAGAAGAGATATCAGTGTACCTTTTGTATTTCTTTTTAGAGTCTATTTCTCCGTGTAAACTTTTCTATCAAATCTCGAATCTCGCCTTGTATCTTGACATCCTGTAACTAAGTTTCGTCCTTCACTCTTCCGTTAATAAAAAAAATCAATAACTAATATAGTTTTGATTATGTTAAAATTTTAATTGTGCTCTATACGGTAGTACAGTCCTATTTTCCACTTGGAAAGTGTTATTGAGAAATTAAATCAATAGCTTAACAAATTAATTACAAAGAAGAACTTTTTAGCTTTAAATGTTTGTAAAGTCAAGTTGTTGACATTAATGTGATTTGTTATTCATAAATGTTAGGATGTCTTTCTGTGGTTGAATTGTGTATGCCCTATCCCTGGACGCTGCTAGAGGTCATGACAGACAACAACAATAGCAAGGGAGGGGCGCCCCCCGCTGCCCCCCCACCGCCGCCACCGGCTGATCTTGACGACTCTATGGACAGTCAACCAGACTTCAGCTTTAATTTAGAGCTAAGTAGGAATCAGCATGAACAATATGACTTGCAATTTTCTGAACCACAACCGAGCCAGGCATCGGTTGCACCAGCCGTTACTATTGTCGGTAAGTGTCAATGTTAAAAGGTAGCAACGTTGAAAGAAGTGTTAAAAGAGAGTACCTAACAAAGTTTTGATTCATCTACTAATAAAAGCGAGAGTCATAACTTAATTAACTAAAGGAACCACTCAGGGAAAAATCAATTCTTTTTCTTACAGTTTCAATAAGTTTCGCAATAGGAAGATTTTAAAACAATATTTTTTTTTATATAACATGTTTTTGATTATAAAGATTCTATATAGTTTAAAGTTATTTCGATTTAATTATAAAGATGATTTGTTTATTTTTTCTCGTTATTTCCTTTTTTATCTCATTAAATTTACTGTAATAAATATATTCTTTTCCATGCTCCAGTCGATGAAGTTGTCGGTGAAAGTGTTGAGGAAGAGGTTTGCTTTTATAATTATAAACATTTTTGCAATAAGTTAAAATAAATATATCGGCACGCTTACATTTCTCGCTATGATTTTGATGTTTCGTATTGCTACCTCGCGCAAGACGCTCAGGGCTAGACGGTTTTCGGATTGCGCTGGAAATTAAAAATTAAAATTTGGAAATTTCCATCTGTCAAATATACGAGTATTATGTTTTCTTAACCTTTTTACTTCAGTTAATAAGTAAATAAAAAAATATGTTTGTTCTTTTAACGATATCTTTTGATACATGGAAAGTAAACTTTTTAAATATACACAAATAAATATAATAAGTATACCATATGTTGTGATATAAATAATACGATCGTGAGAATTAAATAAGAGATATTTAACTTCTTCTCACAATTAGGATACTATAAACATTCATTTTAAATAAACGAATGTAAATGATTGATATAATTTATACATTTTATGTTACGATTGTTTTAAAAACTTTAATAGATGCTATCTGCTTTCTGATCAAACAATACCGTCTACATCTTCATTTTTAGAAAAATCATGGCCAGTAATATTGCATGATTACTGCTTGCAGCAATAAAATCATTGAGATTATAATTATTGTAAATCTTTTATCACAAATTTAGTTTAAACATCGATTTAGTATTGTGTAGCGCCTACATAGATTTCGCAACTGTTGTTTTATCAAAGCCAGCGATCGCTGCGTTCGTTTTTAAATTGCTTGCCGCGGTGATAGGAAGAAGAGGAGCAATGCGAGCCGCTGCCGCCCCCGCCGCAGCCGATCAAGCCTGCGCCGCTGATTGTTGAGGCCGGCGGCGGCTGCGGCCTGGGCGTGGCGCAGATCGTGATCACGGCCGCCACGCCGATGGTCGAGGAGCCTGACCAGCCCTTCCCCCCGCCCGAACCCGAGCCTGAGCCTGAGCACGACGAGAACGAAGACGAGGAGTCGTCGCTCTCCGAGCAGACCGCCGTCTGCCTTCGCGAAGCAGCCGACGGGCCGGCGTACTCTGCCCCGCACCCCGCCTCCAGCTCCACCGCCTCCGAAGGCGAGTCCACCGGCGCGTCAGTCGCCTCCGGACCCCCCACCGCCCCGCAGTCGCCCCCGGCGGCACCGCGCGCCGGCCGCGCCTCTATACCCGACGAGCTCGAACCAGCACAGCTCGCAAGGCTCACTGATCTTAAGGAGTCCAACGCTTAGATCATTACACCCGCCGACTGTAACTCCTTCGTTCTCTAACCCTAAGCAATCCCTAAACCTGTAATCGATGTCACCTGTACTGACCCGTCGGTAGTTTTTATTCAAAGACGCTAAACGATTATGGTCCGCGATCCAACTTTAGCTGACATTTCTATCCTCGTTATCTAGTCATCTGGTCACGTCAAACTGGTTTCATATTAAGACCGTTTCTCACTACCGCTTAATAAAGATGATTGAATGTTTTCAAATATTTTGCGACTAAGCTTAACGTAGGCCTTAAACTATTTACGGACTTTCATACGCAATATATTTATAATTAATGAAATTACTTTAACATTAACATTGCTAACAATAGTAGGCTAATAAAAAGACAACGATCCGAAACTAAACTTAATTATGTTAATTACTTTTTTTTCTTTACCCCAGAATACTATTACCATTTATGAATGATAAACTTATTTTACTCCGACTTCATTTATACTTTGGCCTAAGCATTTATGTTGATTTAAAGACATTACAGTGAGAAGTGGTCACGTTAATTTACGTAGGACTATTGTGTATATAAGTAAACATATGTACTAATGTCTAGTGGGCTGAGAAAGCACGTATTAAAGTTTGTTAAATAGAAGAAATGATAGTGTAATAATTGTAGAGCGGTGCGTTGGTTTAATCTTGGCGAAGTTTTAACATTATTTTTTATTTTTTTGTTTTAGTTTTGGAGAGCCTATCTTAGTGTTATTGAAGCAATAGTTTTACTTGAGTACTCCACGGCTCGGATTTTGTTGAAGTTTAGATATCTTTAAATCTTTGAAGACGAGTTTAGGTTGGGCCTATCACAGATTTAAGATAAAAGCCACGCGCAAGAATCGTAAGATATTTAAGAATAGCTCGTTGAATGTTCTATAATGCTGGAGCAAAAATGCACACAGAGAGCGTGGTGGAAAATTTCATCGTGGAAATGTAAGCTAAGGAACATACAGGGTGTTACTACCTTCTCGTTCCCGTTTCGTCATGTTCCTTTTATAGGAAATTTAATATTCTTCGTAAAGTTTTCTTTATCCTCATTTCAAGTATATGTCATTCATATGGACGTTGACGTTCCTCTACTAAATTTCTTCACACCTCGTTAATATCGCGTTTTCTTTTAGGTTTCATCTCACAGATCTAATTCTCATTTTTACTAAGCAAACTATTACGGCGGGTCCACATATATTTTTTCTATAATGCATTTCATTGTTTGATTACAATACTTTTAATGTTTTAATGTCGATAATTAGAAATTATGTAAGGATAATTTGATGTTGTGTTAGAAATGTTAGAAAGAAATTATAATTATATCTACATGTAGGCACAATTTTTAACCGCATGAATTTCACTAGGTCGTTTATATTAATTATTAAATGTTCGTAGAGTAGGTTGAGTCTTAATCACTTCATAATGTCCTAAACGTCGCAGGACTTAAATAAAAAAATTGTGTAACTATGCAATACAGCAAAGGTCAACTAACTCGTTACGGATTCCTGCTTAGTTATTTCTTCAAAAGATCCGCCGAGGTTTACAACGGGTGCAGAAATCTTGTCCAGGTCGAGAATTAATTTCAATTTTATTTTAATAACACTTTTATTTATTAACAGTGGAGTTACTTTGATGCAACTTTATCAATTCACTTATCAATTAAACATACAAAATTTTACTTTTTGGTATGTTTATTTGTATATACATATGATAGCATAGCACTATTACGAGATTATTATTTTCGTTAGAGGAAAGGTTGTGTTTAGAGGTTATAAGTTTAATTTATACTTTTCAAATAAATTCATTTACGTAGAAAAATATATGATTAACGTAGTATTATTTATTTAAAATATATTCTAGCTCTCACGCACAAATTGAATATCATACAAATTTTGCGTTAAACGTTTATCGAACATGCCGTTTATTGCCTTTAAAAGTACCTCCATAATTATGTTGATGTGATTATAAAATATTATTTATCTTCGAACTAAATCTTCTCTTCTTTTAATGTTTTCCTTGTTAGATAAATTAGATGGCTGCCTACCTGTTTTATCATACCTAAGTAATATTATATTATGTAGATCCAAATAATAGTTAATGTAGATTTTCTTCGCTGTTTTGATGTTTCAATTATACGCAGTATTAATAGAATTATACAATTTCTGTACTTTATTGATGTTAAAATATTTGTCATTGAATTTTTAATTATAAATAGGAATTATAAATTATCACGTTAATATGCATAAGATATACCTACGAAATATGACATGACAAACTCAAATTTACTAAAACACCATATTTTCAATTTCATTAATTCACGTATTTGGGTATTTAAATTAATCATACGATAAAGTTTTTTGTCTTTGGAGAGGATTGTAGCACTCTGTAGGACATTCCCGTATTAAATCTAATATTACTGTATCAAAAACTGCACGGGAAAACTGCCTATTTAACTGAATTGAAAATAATGTTACTTGCGGTACATACAACTTTACCTAATAGATATAGCATAAATGTTGCTTTTTCTTTAGAACTAATTGAATGTAATACTAGACACTAGCCTGTGTGTTGAATAATGCTTAAATATATTTAAATATACACTCATAATTCGCGTTTCATTTCAACACCCTTTTGCCTTTATATGTCTAAAATAACCCATGAAATAACTACTAAAGTATAAAACGATGAAGAAATAAGCGATCACATATGAATAAGTAAAACTTGACGAATGACTTACAGATTTGTTGGGCATGGTATTGCGCAAATTGCTTTAAACGTCATAACTGACTGTGTAAATTAACGTACTCGCTTGAACCCACAAGCAGCAATTTTGCCTCATTAAACAGAAAAGTGACTTGTTGATATGTTTCCCAACTTAAAGATTAATTTCTTATTGCACTTCCGACATTCCTTGTGCAAGTACAAGAAGGCGAATTATACGTTTCCTGTTTCCATTACATCAATCAAATAACCTTATTTGAAGTAAGTAGATTTTCCTTTGCAAATTATTGATGTAAAAATGGATCAGTTAATGCATTTGCAAAAGCTAACTACTGCCTGACCGGTATTTCACGTATTAGTAAGGGAGCCGTGGATGGTATACAGTGATTTTTCTAAAGGTGCCCAAATTAATTCACACAGGAGGTTCAGACTCGGTAGTATAATCATTTATTGTAATAAAAACAAACTCTATTTTTCAAAAAAATTGCCATTATATTACCTAAATAACAAAACTTGTTGACAATGCGGTAGTCTTTCATACGTCGTATACTTTTGAAACAAACTTGTGTGCGTGTTAGTTATGAATGATCGCACGTCAAATAAATGAGTTGCCCAGAAAGCACACACTTTTTGGGATAAGTAGAAATGAATGTAATTAATTAATTAGGAGTGATTTTAAATATTTATAATTTTTTAAAACATTATTTATATATAGAATTTAATTAAAAAAAAATGGATACACATAAGAAAAGCCTCCGTATATAGCCCAGCTTAGTAACAACATTAACTCTTGCCTCTCAGTTACATTTTGTTGAAAAGGCAAATGGCCGCAGAAGACAGATCATTAAATGCATAACCATCCGTCTACTTGATAGTACTTTTATCATATAAAAGCGCAATGTTAAGATTGTACACAAATAGTTGGCTCGTGTGGGAATCGAACCTGAACTTCGGCGTTGAAGCCAATCAATACTTTGGCAACGGCGCCAGGGAGCCATCTTTTTGAAAACTATTATTAACGAAGAGTAAAACAAGTTCTTATTCCGGAACTGTATATTAAATAGACCATGGAAATTTGAGCCCGGATTCACAAAAAACTCCATTTAAAGACCATCTAACTTCACTCGCCTCTAGAACCTTTTCGACGAAAAAGGTCCCGTTTTATGTTTTGGGTACACTTACCTAAAAACAGAATAAAAAATAATAAGTAGGGCTCCCATACAACAGACATGATTTTTTCCCGTTTCTACGGTACAGAAACCCTCGTGCGCGAGTCCCACTCATGCTTGGCCGTTTTTTTATTCTGGTAAGTCGTGCCCATATATTTCTTAGTTCTAATTTGAGGTTATTACGAAAATAAAAACAAAGTTATTTAACAGCATTTATTAGTTTTCCAATATTCAAGCATATAGGTAATTGATTCGCTATAAAATTTCAAAAATTAATCTGTCAGTCACCTATTATTAATAATTTTAATTGTAACAAAAATAACCATATTTGAGGTAGTTTAGTACTTTTTTTATTTAAGACAAACAGTTCCTGTATTTTACTTAGTTGAATAAAAAATTATTGCTTCATAATTCATTTCACTTAGACGATTACTTGTTACGTTTCAATAAGTTAAGAATATTATAATTAGAAACAATAAAGTTAAAAAATAATAATAACATTAGATGCAATATATAAATTCATTAAGTCGTATTATTTTTACTTTGCTTATGGGTTTAGTCTTTATGCAAAAAAACAAGTAAACAAAAGCATTTTAAGCGAACACAGCCTATATATAGATCGTGCAAACTTAAATGCGCATGACGAAAAAGTTCACGAGTTTTATACTTATAAATTTGTCAACAATAAATAGGTACTATACAAAACGTCCTACTACAAGTCAATTTTTTTTATTAACGAGAAACAAAACCGACTACAAATCTCGCTCTTTGTTCACTTTTACAATTGATTTATCAGGAGTTAGCTTAGTATCGCAGGAGCCCAAGATCTAATACCAATGAAAATAAGTAAAGAGTAAGGAATTTGTACTTCAGTGCGAACAATCGTGTCAAAAAATCAGTCAAAGAAATATGTCTACACATGATCGCCTTACCGAGTATCCATAATACAAGCTTTGCTTAGTTTTAGAACTAGATAACGTTACATAAACATACCTGAAATATTTATTTATTAGTTTAAACCAACTCGACCGTATTCAGCTACAATTAAATAGTGTTAAGGCACAGCACAGCTATCGTCGAATGTTATAACCTCATGTTTTTTATTGCCCTTATTGTGCGATAACGTTATAACTTCACGTTATGAATACCTCGTTAAGGGCTGCCGATGTGGCCTTTTGGGGCGGACGCTATCGTCGCCCGCCGCTCTTGTACTGCGCGTATATGTCGCGGAACATGTCGCGGCAGTTCATGCGCACCCTCAGCTTGGAGCAGAGGAGGAACACGCCGGACAGTTTGCGGTGGAGCGAGTAGATCTCCTCGGGCGGCGGGCACAGCCGGTGCGTGAGGATCGTCGGCACCAGCGCCTGTATGCGGCGCGTGGTCTTCTGCGCGCCGAAGTCGAACGCGCCGTCGCCCTCGCTCGTGAACACCTCGCCCATTATCATCACCGTGTCCACGTGCGTCTCCTCCATTATCTGCGGTGGTCGGGGGATTTTTGAGTTTACACACCTTTTAGCTCGTTTTGGGATAAAATTAAATGTTACGATGCGAACTTTTACCACGCACAAAAGCGACACAGTTCGAGTTCAGTTGGGTTACCATGGCAACGTATAACAACTTTTTGACATTCAAAAGAGAGTGGCAAACTTTTCCGCGTAATATACCGATTTTTGCTTAAGTCGTTTGCCGGTCCTTATTCAATGAATTTTCGATGGTCGATAACAATGTGATTTGATTGTAGTCGATTGATTAAACGGAATAAAATGTTAATATGTCATATTAGTCTTTTCATTAAACTTTCGTACACATTTTTTTTAAATCAAATCTAATATTAATTAATATGTATATACAACAGAAATAATTACTACGAGTAAGCATCAATAATGGCAGCTATAAATTCAACTTAAAGCACTCGGACACTAGGCGTGTGACGAATACGGTGTAGAAAATCACCTTAGACTCATAGCCGGTGAGCAATTTCATTTCTCGCGACATCCGCAAGATGGCGTCGCGGTCGCTGTCCGACGCGGCTTTGATGATCTCGATGTACTGGTCCATGAACTCCTTGGAGTACTCTCGAGTCGCCCCGAAATCTAGTAGAATAACCTATAACAACCAGTTAATAAATTCGTCGGATGTAATCTGGACTACAAATATAGGGAGGCTTTTCTAAGTGTATCCATTTTTTTTTATTAAATTCTAGACATAAATAATTTTATATAATAAATGATTAATTTTAAATCACTCGTAAGTAATTAATTACATTCCTTTGAACTTTCTCTTAAAGTGCGTGATTTATCTAATACCTTTAAAGGAGCGATTCTTGTATATATACAGCGTGTCGTTACCATCGCGACAATAAATGAACACACATATAGGGGATAACTTTTTAAAGTTGTATTAAACATTTAAATTCTTTAAACATCAATATTTACAGGGTTATTAAGTTTTCCAAAACAAAGAATTTTAGAACACCCTTACCTATAAAAGCGTAACGTAAAGTTCATTTGTAAAGGTCACAAAGCATATGAATGGGTTGAATGGATTTAAAAGAGACAAAACATACTGTTAGAAGGAGAGAGTTGTAATACGACGCTGTGGCGCGAGTTGTATAGGATGTTACAAATTTTGTTTCTTTTTTACTTAATAACTTTGTTTGAAACATATTTTTTTTAATTATGAATTTTGTTTAACGTTAACATTTTTTTTATGATTATTGGCAAGTAGCGTTATACGTGTGTTCATTTATTGTCGCGATGGTAACGACACGTTGTATAATATATATAATCGGAATCTCGGAAACGGCTCCAGCGATTTTCATAAAATTTAGTATGTGCGTAGATTCGGGGAAAAATCGATCAAGCTAGGTTTCATTTTTATCCTTGTTTTCAGGGAATGAAATATCATTCTAGTATGATTGTAAATTTCGCCGAAAAAAAAATAGGCTGCGAAATAGGCTGCGGTTCGTGTCACGATCATTTACACACTTATTTTTTTTTACTTTTTTTCTATACCAGATTGCTTTCTTTATTTTTTATTTCCAAAAAACACGATTTACCAAAATACTATTATCCAGGTACTATTACATTACGAAACTCATTTATTTTACGCGCGACATAACAAATACACACAAGTTCGTTTGTGTGCGTGAACAATAAAATTTAGGTATTTATGAATGACTACCGCGTTGTCAATAAGTTCTGTTTTTTGAGGAATAGAATGGTAATAATCGATTATACTACCGAGTCTGAACCTCCTGTGTAAATTTGGGCACCTTTATTTAATTGTAAGTGATCTGCAAAAAAAACTATTTACCCTAGTTACAGTAACGAATATAATTTTATTGTTTTCTTTACTTTTATCTAAATATTTTTAGATAAAACTAAAGAAAACAATAAAAATCAAATCAAATGTCATTATTCAACATAGGATTATTACACTTACTTCTTGATAGTCAAAATACTACCACCGGTTCGGAAAAGAAAGCCACTGTACTGAGAAGAACCGGCGAAAGAAACTCAGCGGGCTTTCTTTTTTATTATTATTATTATTTAAATAAACAGCTTGACATGAATTCATTACAAATACAATATAAGAACTCTGATTGAAAGAGCCCTGCGCGATAAGTTCATTACCGGAGTTTGTTATCATTTAAATAGTCATTGATATTATAATAGCCTGTAACACACAAACGTTCTTTAACTATTATTTTAAATTAAGCTATTGATGCATTTTGAACTTTTTCTGGAATTTTGATGTAGAAACGTATACATTATCCCATAAAAGATTTACTTATTTTAAGCAGTCTACTTGTGGGTAGGATCAATTAATGTTTGTTCCTAGTATTTATATTATGAACATTGTTATGTCTTGAAAATTTATCCTTATTTTTATGGACATACATAACATTTTCAAAAATGTATTGAGAAACAACAGTCAATACCTTTATCTCTTTCAACTAGTTTCTTAACGATTCCAATAAGCTTTTGGTGATTACTGTAAATCGAATACTTTGATTATTTTTATTACACCACTGTCATAAGCCTCATTTGTTATTCGACTGTCATAGGGCGAATTTTTGTTGCTTATTAAAATTAAAACGAGCTAAATTGTACCAATCACGCGGATTTGATAAAATGTAAAAAATTGAATAACATGCGGACATAAAATGCTTGCTTGCCAACTAATGCCCAAGTATATCTATTAACATTAGGAAGTCTGCACCTTCATATGCCTCTGTGATAAAGAAGGTTGCAGAATTTAACGTGGACGAAGGGAATTTATAAATAAATCGCACTCGAGGAAAATGTGGGGAAACAAAAATTATGAAAATTACAATAAAATAAAATAAACTCCTCGGGGTTACTACAGTTTCACAACAAAGGAAAAAGTTACTCAAGTAGACTCAGAGATTACAAAAACTTACTACAAATCTTATGTATAACATAAACAACGGTGCCAATCTAGAGGTGGTGAGTGAAATTAAATCAGACTTAATGTAGTATGTTCATCATAGTCCTTGTCTTACTTTTACATAACTGTCCGAGGGCTTATTCAGAAAATAGAAATTGGATCCAGATAAAATATAAGTTGTGTTCAGATATAGGTTGTTTCGCATTTAAGCCGCCCTTTGTTACCCCATTAGTGTAAAAACTGAAATACAGTAGAATATCGATTATCCAAACATCGATTATCCGGATATTAGATCATCCAGACTTCACGATGCTAACTACCGATTGAGAAATGATTTGACGGCGCTGTTACAAGTTTTTTTTTTTTACATAGACAACTAAATTTTTTTAAATCGTATTGTCTAATTGAATATAAAATAAAATAAAAAAATAAAATTTAATTATTGTTTGATTTGACTTTGAAATCGATTATCCGGATTTCGATTATACGATTTTATTTGATTCGGATAATCGGGATTCTTCCGTAGGTATTTCAATTAATGACGGTTGGGCGGCCCACTCACCTGCTTGGTACTCGGGTTGTAGAAGAAGTTCGCCCAGTTGGGGTCTGTCTGCATCAGACGCAACACGAACATCTCGCGTAACACTAGCTGCATTATCTTGTACGCGATATCGTGGCGGACTTCGTATGGCGCGTCGAACAGCTTATCCAGCGGCGTGCCGTCTATAAGCTCCGTGGTCATCACTTCGGATGCGCACAGGTCGTCTGCGAACAATGCACAGTTCTCAAAAGATTCGTATTTGAGAAAATTTAATACGTTGTATTCGTCCACTTGTGAAATATCGTGCGACGAATAATTAGTGTCATTACTGTTTTTAAATGTTCATAGTCTTTTTTCAGTGTCTAGATGTTTATATATTATGTATAAACATGTATTTATCAGTTATGGGTATTAGCCATAGTAGAAGTGTTGCTTAGTTTGGGACTAGTGTTGTGTAAAAATGTGTCCTGAAATATATATTTTTTATCTATACATACACGACCGTGATCCGTCACCGAATGGTTATTTAACGATAAGCACCTAATGTACGTAATACTTAGAAGGCTATTATAAATTCTAATCAATATTAAACCGAGTTTTTTTTTTATAGGAAAACCTTATCTTTACTCTACTTTTCTATTTCTCGTCTATAGCAGCAAATATTAGGTCCATGTGAAATTAGCGCTTTGTCGTACTGACCACTTGATCTGAAATATCTCCTCTTTGTTTAAGAATTCCAAATTCAAATTTATAAATTCATTTAGCTGGTATATTTGAGTTTTGAAAACAGTCATTCATTTGTTTCTTCCTCCCTATTTTATTCTTTGGCGTCGCTTATTACTGCACAATGGAAAACATGAAATATCGGTATATTTACGAGTACGAGTTCTACCGTGGCCCCAGTGCTGCAGAAACAGCACGAAAAATTAATGATGTGTACGGCACTGGTGGCGCAAAAGAAAGCACGGTACGTTTTTGGTTTCAAGGTTTTAGTTCTGGAAATTTCGAGCTTCAGAACCAACCCCGTCGACGGCCGGAGACCAAAGTAGAAAATGAAGAATTAAAGGCTATTGTGGAAGCGGATCTATCACAAAGCACGTTAATCGTTATCACAAACTCTATTCATAAGAAAATTCAACTGCGATGCGGCAGTCCAAACCGCCTTCAAAGAGTTTATTGGTTCTTGGCCCATGTTTTTTTTAGTAAAGGGATCAATGAACTGTCCATGAGATGGCAAAAGTGGCAGCTAACAACGGTGCATACTTTAATTAATTAAATGTATTATACAAAAAAAAAATGACTTTACATTCCTCCCATACAAAACGCCAATTTCATATACTACTACCTAATATTAAAAATGATGTTTGCATGATTAAGTTTGATGTAGAGTTATGCAATTTATGTACTGACCAAAAATTCCTTTGAAATCAGTTTTTAACAATATTTTGCAGATCCAATAGTAGGATTTATGATTTTGATAAGGCAATATCAAACAACAGGTTGTTTTGCCATATAAATTATTCTACAGGAATCGGAACGCACGCATAAAGTGTTTGACAGTTTACACAGACATGGTTGATAGGTTAGCAAGTACAGTTTGTATATGAAAATAAACAAGTAGCTAATTCGATTTCCCATGCAATTTTTCGATAATTTCTCATAGTTTAAACCTTCTCTGGACTGTCACAAATATTTCAAAACCAAAATTAGCCAAATCGGTCTAGACGATCTCGAGTTTTAGCGAGAATAACGAACAGCAATTCATTTTTATATATAAGATATGGCATAGTCCACTGCGCGTTTCCACTGCGGACGGATTATACCTGTCTTCGAAATATTTGTTTTTTGTTTCCTTACGATGTTTTTCTTCACCGTTGAGAATGTGATAAGTCAGCACTTAAAATGAACGATTTCGTTGGTGTCAGCATCGGGATTTGAACTCAGGTTGTTTGAGTATATTGAGTTAAAAGCGAGCGCCTGGATGTTGAGCTATCTCGGCAATTTCAATATAAAAGGTACCAAATTACAAAAAATAAAACGCTTGAATATAACCCATAATTTTTCAGTTTCTTCAAAAGTAATTATAGAACCATCCTCGTATAAGGAATATTATAAAAAAAGAATTAGCAAAATCGGTTCAGCTGTTCTCGAGATTTGCGCTTAGCAACACATTCAGCGATTCATTTTTATATATTTGTATAGAGATATGCTTCCCGTACCGATAACATCCGGAACGAAGTACTCTGGATACGGTGAAAGGGCGCGTTTGAATTTCCTGGTGCATTCCGCCTCACGGATATAATCTACTTCCCACGCCAATTCCTTCTTGGCAACCTCCACTATGTTGTCGATGAACATACCCTTGGGAAAGACGTTCCACACCTGTAGAACGGAGCACGTTTATTTATACACTTCATCATTTGATAACGGTTTTTCTGAAGGATGGATATTGTAGACCACACATGTATAATGTCTACTGTAATCGCCTCGTTTAACAAATTATGAATTGCTGATCACTAAACTCTTGTTCCTTTGAATATCTGGCGGTCATATATACACGGTGGCTTTTCTAAGTGTATCCATTTTTTTTATTAAATTCTAGACATAAATAATGTTACATAAAAAATTATAAATATTCAAAATCACTCTTAAGTAATTAATTACATTAATTTGAACTTATCTCAAAAAGTGCATGATCTATACGCAACTCACTTATTTTACGCGCGATCATTCATAACTAACACGCACTCAAGTTCGTGCACAGTAAAATTTAGGTATTTATAAATGACTACCGCATTGTCAACACGTTCTGTTTTTAGGGAATAGAATGGCATTTTTTTTTTAAAAATAAAACTTTGTTTTTTATTTCAATAAACGATTATACTACCGAGTCTGAACCTCCTGTGTAAATTTGGGCACTTCTCAAAAAATCTCCCTGTATAATAGGTTCTAGATAATAGAAAATTGATACTTATAATGTGAGGTGTGTGGTTCTAATTTGAGGCTATTATATATGCTATTTAACTGTTTTATCAATTATACAACGTGGCGCTAATAACGCGACCATAAATCACACACACACATATAAAGGATAACTTTTTAAAATTGTAATAAACATTTACATTCTTTAAACATCAATATTTACCGAGTTATTAAATTTTCCAAAACAAACAACTTTAGAACAGCCTTACTTATAAAAATGTAACGTAAAGTTCATTTGTAAAGGTCACAAAGCATATGAATTGGTTGAATGACTTTAAAAGAGATAAAACATACTTTTAGAAAGAGAGACTTGTAATTCGACGCTGAGGCAAAAAATGAAGTTTCTGAATGTATGAATCAGTCAGTTGTAGTTGTATAGGATGTTACAAATTTTGCTCCTATTTTGTTTAATTAGTTTGTTTGAAAAAAAATTATTATGGATTTTTTTAACTGTTATATTTTTTATGATTATTGGCAAGTAGCGTTAGACGTGTGTTCATTTATTCTAGCGGTTGTAATGCCACGCTGTATACAGTAGTTTAAATATACAAATTACCTATTGTAATGTAATAACATGTCGTTTTGTGTTACTAAAAATTAATTCATATTTCTCTAATTTCAGACATTACGTAAAAAAATATTCTGTCTCAATGATGTTAGAAAATAAAAGAACCTACAATTTTAAACAGTATTTAAAATATATGACTATTCAAGTAATAGCTAATTGACAAAATAATGCTAAACAATCATTCCATCCACTCACCTTTAATACTCCAACCAAATTGTCGATGTCGCTGTTGATACCTTTCGCAACTCCGGGATATTGAACCTTCATTGCTACTTCTTGGCCATTATGAAGTACTGCTAAATGTACCTGGCCTATTGAAAGTTAATGTAAAATTTCTTCACTGAGCATACATATTACGTACAAACAAGAAAATTTAATACTAGATATTTGCAAATTTAGATTTGTCCAGAGAGGAGCGGCGAAAAAACTTGTCTGGTTCGTTAGGTTGGATATAATATACTGTGTAAGCCCTGTATAACGTTCAAAAGACTGAGCATTTTTTTTTTCGTTATAAAGAATTTTGGTTATACGGAGGGTAGAGAAAAAGTAAACCAAAATTAACCAATTACAACAATTTGTAATTTTATTACTATCAATAGGTAAATTATTCTAAGTGCATATATTCTTTTAATTTTTCCTGAGGTGTTTTGCTGGCCAATATTTGTATTGTAATTTTGTGCATGTCTCAGGATGTGATGAAATCACAGCTATTTATGACCTCACATATCTTTCTTAGCAATTCCAGGACCTTAAAATATTAGTTTTGTAAGCTGATTATAAAAATAATTACACTGTTAAATATGTTGTTCATGTTTAAATATGTAAATATTTCTTTGTAATAGAGGATGGCTTCTGTGTTATAAAGAGGAATTAATGCATGGGTTTTGTGGTAATCCAACCAAAATGAACTAATTTCTATGTTGTAGAAAGTTTTACGTTCGTTCGTTATTGTTTAATATCCAGCAACAAACAATACGGTATATTCTACCTTCTTATACAGCGTGTCGTTACAAACGTGACAATGAATGAACACACATATAGCGGATAACTTTTTAAAATTGTATTAAACATTTACATTCTTATTATAATTACAATATTATTAATTAATATTTACAATAACTCATATTAAATTTTCCAAATCAAACAATTTTAGAATACCCTTACATATAAAACGGTAACATATAGTTCATTTGTAAAGGTCACAAAGCATAATTATGATTGGGTTGAATGAATTTGAAAAAGATAAAACATACTGTTAGAAGAAGAGATTGGTAGTGCGACGCTGCGGCAACGAATGAAAAAGTGTATGAATGTATGAATCAGTCAGATGTAGTTATATAGGATGTTACAAATTTTGTTCCTTTTCTATTTAATTACTTTGTTTGAAAAATAATTTTTTTTAATTATGGATTTTTTTAACGTATTGTCGTGCTTGTAACAACACGCTGTATAATGATTATAACATAATTAAATTTACTTACCAATAGAGGCAGCTGCAAATGGTTTCTCCTCAAAGTGTCGTATGCGATTACGCCAATCTGGACCCAACTGGGAACTCATTACCTTCTCCACTTGCCAAGTTGGCATAAAATCTGCAGATTGGCGTACTCGCTCAAATATTTTTTGTAATTCTGGAGAGATCATAGTGTCATCTTGAATACTCAAAAGCTGACCTAGCTTAAGTGCAGCTCCTGTTAATAACAATTGGTAAATTACGAATAACATTAAGTAACATGAAAATAAAACCATATAAATGCTTAATATTTCTTACACAATTTACCTTTCCATTGTATCATGTTGTATCTTTTTATTTTACTAATTTTTAAATAATAAATTAGTAACAGAGGTAAAATATGAATGGAAAACAAAAAGTTCATAAATAAAGAACAGTAAAATACTATTATCCAAAGAAACCTTAAAAATGAATCAAATTGTGAAGTTGTATATTAAAACTTACCGCGAACTTTGCACAATGTATCAACTATTCTCTCTGCATTAGCAGGTGACAAAAAAGCATTAGCAGGATCTTCAACTCGGCCTGTGACAGATTGAATAGTATTACGAGCATATTGTGCTACTGTTCCGACACCTAGACCTGCTGCCAAAGAACCAAATGAAATCATTCTTCCTATTCTTGATGATGGAACAACACGGGCCTTGGAATTTGCACTTAGCTAAAAATGAGAGAGGTTTTATAATTTTTTTCTATACTGTAGTAATTAAACAAACTGTAAGCTTTCATTTTAACATGTCTATCAAACACTTAATAGGTAAGTCCAATTATCAGTATGCAGTTAGAATAAACAATCATGGCATTGTTGATGTAGACATTTTATAAAAAAAAATTTTTAATAAAATATTTCTTAAAATCTAAACAGTGAAATCTAAAATATATTAAACTACTCAATGAAGAAGCAATTATAAATGTACTTACAGACACTCTTATCTTTTTCTTAGCAACAGGTTTTGGTACTGTATCTTTTGCTTTAGATTCAGCAGTATTTAAAGCTTTAAAGGAAGGCTGAATATGGACATTTTGCTTTTGTACAACTTCTGTACTTGCTGGCAACTGGATCTTCTCAAGAGGAGCTTCAAAATGTTCATAAGATATGGGTGCGGTAAGCTCCTGTTTTGTAGAATCTGCCTTTCTCAAACTCTCAAATGTCTTGTCGAATTCTCTGTTTAACTGATCTATTTCTTCTTTCAACTTTTCATCCATTGTAGCTGTATTCTCTACAGTAGCATTAAAATTAGGAACATGCATTGTAGTGTACTGTCTAAAGCCATGATAAACAACAAATGCTCTTTCAAGTAAATCATTTGTAAGGGCAGTGTCAGATTTGTAAGTTTTTATTGGGTTAGTTGCGCAATTTTGTAGAAGTGGTCTAATGCTGGAGTTATTCCATAAAAGTTTAGTGTTTTCCTGTTGTAATTTAATGCCTGCTTCAACTACTTGCCGAAATCCTCGTATGACACCCAAGAGGTCATTAATGTGTGACATAGTCTGAAAGGTGAGTGTAAATTAATTGAATAAAAATACATACACATATATAAGGATAAATATATGGCAATTTTAAGAAATATTGAGATAAATGTTTTGGTATTTACTTAGTTTTCATATAAGTGAAATAACCATATTATAAATAAAATAGATCCTGAACCCATATCTAAGCAGGAGCGTATTGCATAACATTATACATTGTTTTGTAATATATAAAACTTCCTTAATACCTCATTTTTGTTAAATGTTAGTGATTGCAACTATATTTAATGAATACAATTGGTTACTTGTCTCACCAAACGATCAATTATTTAATGGGGATGAAAATAATACAGAAAATATTGAAACTAAAATAATAACTTACAGATTATGTAAAAAAAATTATCTAACTTAAGACAAATTATTTTTTATTCCCACGAAAATGAATTAAAACAAAAATCTATTTAGTAATAGAATAACAACTTTGAAGAAGACAATTGAAAAGTGAAAACTTTCGAAATGTCAAAGTCAGTACCAGTACTTATGTCCTATTGTCTTATTTATGGTCAAAGTTGCAGACAGATCGCAGTGACAATTAGATGGCATTTTGAAAGCCGGTTTTTATCACAGAATAGGGATGCCGAAAGTCAAGAAAAATATCGATATATCGATATTTATAAAAATATCAATATCGGCCTCGATATATCTGAAAAAATATCGATATTTCGGACAAATTTTCGGTTTAAAAAATAATTTATTTAGTTCAGTGTGATTCAACTATAAGTAAGATAAATAGGTGAACTTGCAGTATATAACAGTATATAAATGGCGTATATTTTTGACTGGTTTACTCATTATACTAGACGGTAGGGCAATCCGATGGCAGAGTATCTGCTATTGTTGCAATGAAAATCTGTGAGCCATAACGGACCAAAATATTCCCTTTTTTCTGACACTTCTGCAAAGATCCACATCAAGTGACAACGTGTAAAAGAAAACGCGTCTACCCACAGATTATCAACTTATGACGCCACACCTTCATTGGAAAAAAAACAAACAGCTTATTTAGTAGGATAAATCTGTTTCAATAGCCCTAAATTGAATCAAAAAATAAGTAATAAAAAAAACTGTGGTAGGCCCACGCAATGGTGTTCGACGAATGGGCAGGTTCTTCCGAGTAAAAACCATGACCTCACAGAAGACCGGCGTAAAGTAGGAGTGCACTTCTGCGTTACGTCTGGTGAGTGAGGTAGTCGGGGCCCACTTTGTTTAAAGATGGCAATGCTTCTGCAAACCTAAGGGTGTTGCAAATGTCCATGGGCGGCTTTTATCACTTAACATCAGTTGAACTGCCAGCTCGATTGTCACTTTGTACGTAGAAAAACATGTAAATTTATAAAAATTAAATTGTTTAATACGACGGGTCAGAGACTTGTCCTAAAAGGTAGGTTTAGATCAGCAGAATTAGTAATAGTTGTTTGATTTACATGAAAATGCTGAACAACAATATAAAAAAGTTACTTATACTTTTTTTTTATGAAAACTTGACATTCTATTATGTGACATTTATTTATTGAGATTTTATTATAATTAAATTTCGTTCATTCTATTTACATATTAAATTAAAGTAACTTTAGTTGATGTAGTTCAATGATTGTAATGATTTGTAACACCTCTATACCCATGTTGTACCTTGGCTATGGATAGTATAAAGTACGAAGTATGAAATTGTGGTTTGACGGCTGATAGCAGTGTAAGATACGTACGTGCTTTATATTTGTTATCTGGTTAGTTATTTAACTAACCCGCTCTCGATTGGCTTTGCAAATATCATTTGAGTTCCAAAAATGATCAAAGAATGATCAATTCAGAATGGTTAACCACCCTGGTTAACCATTCTGAATTGATCATTCTGACAATAAGTAAGATCATTCTGATCAATTCAGATAGTTTAACCTTCCTTTTGGCAACTTAAATGACATTTGAAAAGTTATTTGATAGCTAATTAATTAACTTCTACGATGATCAGTGTTTCAGAAACCGGGCGGGTTACCGATTAGCCATCAATCGATCATATAAAAAAAAAACAGAAATCAATAATTTTATTTTTTTATTTTCTTACACATAGATCAAAAAAAGTTTTTATTTTGAAAACATCATATTTTGTACATTAATTTGATATATTACTAACAATTATTAAATGATGGTACGAGAGCTAGCAACGTCGGGAAAACAAAAATTTCAGGTAGGCCAGTTTTTAGATATGAATGCTGGCGGTAGAGGTTTTCATATGACGTCTGGGAGAGTTGAAAAAGATAGCATATATAAAACTGGCCTACCTGAAATTCTCTTTCGAAAACGTTGCTAGCTCTTAGACTAGGAACAGTATTACGAATACTATATTCAATACTATAATCAAAAAATTATAATGTATTCAGAGATAATGGATATTATTTACTGGTATCTTATACTTAATTTCCACCATTATAGAATTGTTTATATTATTGTTATTGTTTTACCAAAGAAATCAATAAAATATAGTATATAATAATAATATATAGTTTAATATATTGATGATTTCTCCATACAGACAATTGATCAATAGTTCCACCGCCATTCTTTTTATTAGGTAGTCCGTTGACTGGAGTAAACTGTCAGGTATGTCACTTTGTAAAATGATATTGTTATAGGTATTCATAAAGCAAGCCATTATTAAGAAGAAGAAGAATAGGTATTCATTTCAGTAGTGATGTCCAACTTAGCAGCGATTTAGCTCTTTTACACAAGACATTACATTATATAAACATTAGTTCTAAATAGAAATTATGCTTAGATATTTATTGATAATAACTATTAATATTCATTGTGGAGATGGTAGTGGAGCACGGAGTAAGTGTTTGATTAAAATATAGGAAGCGCGCGACGTCATATTTTGTTGGTTGTAAAACAATTTATTAAAAATTTTTGAAAAATTTAACGGACTGAATACGTCAGAAGGTTAAAAACTCCCGCCTTAGCCTTTGTGGTTATTTTTTTATGACCACCCAGAATGTCAGTGCATTCGAATGCAACAGGAGTTTCAGTATTTTTAACCTTTTTATTATATGGCTGATAATGGCAGATTTCTATAGTGAAAATAACAATTTTTAAATTGTTTTTATCGAAAACTATAAGCGACCGGAGATTTCTACTTGTTATTTCATTAATGATTTTTCTTTACCGAATAAAATTTTTTACCCGGCGCTAGTGGCAAATGTAACCATAATTTCCTCAAAATTAAATATTAAATAATTACTTTAAAAAACTTTTAAGTTAAACGGTTTTATTTTATGTTTTTTTTTGTTGAATTTTTTTTTTGTTAATATTGTATTGTCATCTAAATTAAATGTGTGTACCAAATTTCAGATCAATCTGACAACGGCAAGGTGCTTAAATTTCAATTTCTAATTTTGACCCAAATAAATAAACAAACAAATTCCGTACGGGTCGAGCTAAATAAAACCGTTTAAAACGCGGAAATTGGGGGGCTCCGCAACTTTTCCTTTTAAGGAGTTCAATATCCCTCCTCCCCCTTGCCCCTCCCGCCCCTCAATTCGACGTCAATGCAAAGTAGTAAAAGTATAAAGTATCAGCCTTTAAATGTATCAGGACATAGTCCACCACGCGGCCCCACTGCGGATTGGAGGACTTTAGGACTTTATCTTCGAAATAATTTTTTTTATTATTTCGAAAATATGCAGGTTTCCTAACGATGTTTTCCTTCACCGCTGAGCACGAGATAATTCAGCACTTGAAAGTAACATTTTCATTGGTGCCGGCACCGGGGATCGAACTCATGTTGCTCGAGTATATTGAATTTAAGGCGAGCGCCCGGACTTTGAGCTATCACGGCTATTTCAGCAAAGTTGTACCAAATATAAAACATAAATTTGAAAACACAAATATTTGTTTTTAATCTCTCAGTATAGGCCGACAAATTTAAGGTGAGTATTGCTTATTTTTCCCCTATGATCATGACTGTTACTCAAAATGTTTCTAAGAATTTTGAGTAATTGTCAAAAGTGAGTGGTTAATATGCACTAGCACAAATTACAATTTTTTTTTCACCAAAAACTGTTATACCATAATGTCAGTTTACTCCAGTGGAATAGTAATGAACTATGCATTTCAATTTACTGTGACTTCAAAACAAGAATAATCAAATTCAACAATTTTCAACAAATTTATCAATATGGAGCGTAATGTTATTTTAAACAATTTTTTCTAATTAATATTTTGTCATCCAAACACATTCTTTTATAACAATAATATTACATTACCCAAGCTATCATACTTGTGCCAATATCAAAAATCTAAAAAAAAGCCTCAGAAAGGTGTTCAAATTAAAAGTTATCCAAAATATAATAGCCTAGAAGATACTTTATTGAATTTTATTATGACATATACATATGATATTAAAAAAAGCATCATTTCATTCTAAATATTTGTAACAGAGTTTTTCACTATATATTATAATGTAAGTGTAATATGGAGTTGATTACTTATTTACAATATCCATTATACAGCATTAATTTTAAGTTAATTTTGAACAAAAAGAATAGTATATTGTTTTCATTATATTTCAATTATTTTTCCTCCTCTGCCAAAATTGCATCCATAACACGTATAAACTTGTCCTCCGGTAAAGGTGTGCAATGCATACTTACAAAATCATGCATGTGTTTATCAATCTGCAGTCCAATAAGATATGTATGTTAGTAATACAAATTTTTACCATAAAATGACTGAAAACATTTGTGGAATATGGATAATAGAACTAGGTGTTTAGTCTTTTAAATAGTATTTAATGGAAAGAAATTTTGAAACAGTTTTATGACCAGAAAAAACTATTTTGATTATAGTTCATCCAGAAAAAGGCAAACTATATAAATTAATGATTATAAGCAGTGAGTAGATCAACATGAGAAAACTTATGCAATTTTATATCTTACCAGTCTCAAAACTTTACGATCACTTTCTCCGATGTCCGACCGCTTTAAAAAAGCAGATCGCTGTGTACTAATAAGGCACACATATGTTTCCAATAAAGCAAACTCTTCACTTGATAAATCAGGGTATCTAGCTTCAATAAGTTTTATTAACAGACTATTGCCACGGTTTGTTTTCAAAACTCCTGGCCTGTAAATATCAAAATATAATTAATTAATTTTACTACATTTACAACGTCATTGTTAATAGAACAATTAACTTTCTAATTTTAAATATCTAGTTTATTATTTGATGATGACAATTTTATGAAAGACAATGATACGCCTCACGCTGCCTATTTATTTCGATCACATTACCAATCACACGATATTAATTAGTGCCCAAGTATTAATTTAATTAAATCATGGATTAAAAACTTCGAGGTAACCTTTTGGATTAATAACAATAATAAAACGTTGAGGCCACGGAGCAGGAGCCGAAGAGGTCGTGGCGCAAGTAAACGAGTCGACGCACAAGTGTTCACATGCTTCATGATTGATATCTCTAACGAATTAACTTTAGAGTTAAAACCCTTCACCGCAATAATTGAAAAATAAAAATTTAATTTTAAGAAAAAATTTTGTTTATACGATTTCGAGCGGTTTAGCAACATCAATAACATTTTCTTTTCGGACATAGTCCATTTCCACTTAAATGGGCATGTAAATAAACAAAATTGTAGATTCTGGAGTAAATTAAAGAATACCCTAAATTAAAACATCGGAGACCTTTGCGTGCTCAATGCGATAGTGTCGGCGGCAATTGTTTAAGTTTAAATGACCTTATAGGCCTGTAAACTTGTTTTATAATGGACATGGTGATTCTGTGACTGTTATTTCTGCAGTATATGAGTATGTGATAATTTCAAATACGAGATTTTTTTCAACCATAGTTTATTAGTTACAGCATTTTGAAGGTTGCAACAGTAGGACAGGAACTTTTCCCTAATAAGCTGGTTCCGCACGGAGGGGACATTCCAGGGCCCGCCCGCAACCTAGACCTTACATCAACTGATTAACTCATATATTTATAAATACACAACAGAAGAATAGTTTATATATATATATAATTGGAATCGAAACCTAGATTCGGGGGCGAAAAATCGATCTGACTAGGTTTCATTTTTAGAAAATGTCGTTTTATCCCAGTTTTCAGGGAATGAAAAATATTATTCGAATATGACTCTAAATTTCACCGAAAAAAAAAGTTATAACAGCTCGGTCGGTAATCGGGCGGCCGCTAACAAACAGCCATGAAACAGAAGGCCGTGGTTCGTATCACAATCATTTACACACTTATTTTTTTTACTTTTTTTTTCGATTCCAGATCTTTGCTTTCTTTATCTTTTATTTTTTTGTCGATTTGTTTTTTTGTTATTTTTTCCCCGTTTTTTTAAAGTTCTTTCTTTTGTGAAAAACACCAGTTCATATTTTCTTATTATTACGTCGGTAAGATCGAAACATATTATGCATATTTCACTACTTTGTATCTAAATGTAATTTCCAAAATACACGATTTACCAAAAAAGAAAAACAAACCGAGCAAAGCTCGGTCCTCCAGGTACTAATATATATATATATATATATATATATATATATATATATATATATATATATATATATATAAATATTTGAATACAATGTAGTTTTTTCATAGTCATTTCTAAAGTGAAAACACTTATGGCCCACTATATTTTACCTATAACTATTATTTTATGCGAAATCTTGTACATTAGTTCTTTTAAAATAAACATAAGAAAATAACTCCATCACAGTTTTAGAAAAGCCGATAAAATTGTTTTTGGGTGTAGACTTAAAAATGTTAATAAAAACTAATTATATGTTCAACAGTTATTTTCAATTATACCTTAGACAAATCACTTCATCTTTAGTCCGCCTTATGAGCTGGACTGGTCCGTGATATTTTCGTATCATTTGCGCTATATTCAAATCCGCATAAGAACGTATTACTTCTTTGACAAGCAAAGCCCACGATGACGGCATTTGATTCGCAGCTATTGGTAAAAGATCATCAAATGTTGCGTCTAGCACCTGAATTTTGAAGAAATGAAACTATGCATGAATGGGTACTAATACTATAGGCATTATAGAATTACTTTTATACAAATCTCAGAAATGTTCATTACGGTAAACGAAAAAAATAAATACCAAAGCCTTCACTTCTGGATAGTTGACTGCTGCCCATGTTGCTGTATAACCTCCAATGCTCCAGCCAAACAAAACTATGTCTTTAACCCTAAAACCTAGCTTATTAATGGCGTACTGCATTACAACATCAATTGCATTTTGTTCTTGAGATGGGAATGGTTTGCCCTAAAATAAAACAATATGAATATAATTTACCTTATAGATTAAATAAAAAAAATACTTAAGGCGCTGTAATAATTTTTTTTTACACGACATCATTTTTTTTACTAAAAGATCGTCCCCCGCTTCCACATACTTCACCACCCAATTAGTTAAAAATTCGCTGCATACAGCGCCTTAAGTACTCTTCTGATTCTCATACTCTATAGTTTTTATACAAATAATGTGCTGACTGAATGACTTTATTGAATAATAATATCTGTCAATGGAATTCATTTTGAGTCAATACAAGGGTGACACTGAAAGTTTTAAGGATTGGCCCGTTAGAAACATTTCCAATGATAACTTCTTTTAAATTTTGAAAATAGAACTTTTTGGTTACCTAATGTGTAACTTTTATTTTTTATTTGTTTTTGTAAATTACCAGCAATTCCAAGTCTTTTCTACCTCAAAATGGATTTAACACAAGGAAAATTTTCAGAATTTGCTTGATGCTTGATGATGCTTCCACATACTTTGACCGCATACAAGAAACGACTTCGCATGGATTGGTGTCACGAAAAATGTTAGAAAAGTTCAACAGAGGTGACTCTTATGTTGTATTTGACATAATCACTGGCTCACTCGTGAAACGAACAATTGAATATTTGACTTTGGCCAGTGTCGAGATAATGAGTCATTCATGGCTTTAAAATACGATGAGTACTTTCGAAAATACCGTAGCAGAGACCTAGTCCCCACGATAGAATTGGCCCACTGCTTTTCTCAGTGCTTCGAATGAATGCAAAGATGTACAAAGAAGGAGTACTTTGAACAACAGTTAAAGTATTGGCAACGTTCATAATTGTGCTGTTTTATGATGTTCTAAGAACTATTATTGCCATGATATGTGCATCAGTAGGTAAGCTTGTTATTATTTTTTTACTTTTGCTGAAAGTGTAAAGATGGTGTTGCATGGGTTATATTATAAACGGTATCTATTGTCGGCGTGGCAATCAGCCGTTTAGCTTAGTGGCTAAAGCGTCATGCCGCGAATGCCGAAGATGTATGTTCGATTCCCACAGCGGCGACACTTTTCCTTCTTGTCTTTCCGTACTTTTTCTACAAATTTTAATGTTGATTCTTAAGTGCAGAGATTAGCACAAATGTTAATTTCTAAAAAGCATGTTCGAATATCGTTGTAAAACGATATCGAAATTGTTTGTATGCTGGAAAGGATATAACAATGGATGCGCCAAGCCTTGCTTCAAATGCTAAAACACAATGTTTCGATCGTGAGTGAGTGAGTGAAGTGCCGTTTTGATAAGTGGCTAAAGCGTCGGGCCGCGAATGCCGGAGAAGTGGGTTCGATTTCCACAGCGGCGACAATCTTTTCGTACTTTTTCTACAAATTTTAATTATAAATATAACTTAAACTATTATAATGTCAATAGGAGAAAATATGCCATACTATGGTATAAATTGTTACTAATCAATACTTACAGTACTTCCAGCAAAACCAGGATGATTCCAACCCAATGCTGAGAAACCAGCTTTTATTGGAGTAGGCATAATTCCTATTTCATAGAACCCCGAATTGCCTTCACAGCAAATTACTAAAATATTGCCTCTGTTTGATGACTGTCTGTTATCTACAAACATTGTATCTATGGCATTGCCATCAGCTGTTTGCAACTTAGCTCTCTTACCATTGTAGTTTTCTACAAGTTGTGCTCTACCCATTACAAGAACATTCCCTAAAAATATGTCATAACAGCATAAGATCTATACATATAATATTCTAAAACATTTTAGGTACAACCAAAGCATTTTTATAAGACAAAGAATTTGTAAATTCCCTAATTTTCTTACATATTATGGCAGTGTATATAATGATTTACACTGTCATTAGTAAGAAAATTATAAATACACTAGTATTGACACACTTTCATCGCTTATATCATTCCAGTATTTCAATAGTAGCAGGTAGGTATTGTAGCATCAATAAATAGAAGGAATAAGGTATGGGACCATTCCTTGATGCTGCAATTTGTTGCACATCTTTTAAAGATCCACATGTATGAGACATAACCTTGCGTTTTATATCAATTCCTGTATTATTATTTCATTCCATTATAATTATATTGTTAATTTGTATGCTTTTATTCTTTCTAAACATAGTAACCATGTCTTTCCTTTATTTATTGTTAGTGAATTAAAATATTATTACTCAATTTATTTACCACTACCTTTTGATTAGTGTTTAATTTAATTATTTTTTTTAATTATTAACTTTTAAAATAATTAAAATATTTTAATTGACAATATATTAAACACAATTTGACAATATATTAAAAATAATTTAATTAATTTTTAATACATTGTCAAATTGTGTATTATATTTAATCCATTTTGAACAAACTGTTTCTACTTAATTACAGATACCAACACTGACATGTTTTTTTTAGTCACATTGCCATCTTTTTCAATTGAAGGTAGCATAATTTTAAAGAATGAAACAAAATAATCTATTATATCCGACTAATTATATCAGTAACTCTTTGTTTTATTCAACCTTGACATTGGCAGAATCATCAAGTTATATGTTGATGGAGCCATAAACCTAAAATTGGAATTGGAATTGGAATCTATTATATTAATACTTACAGAGAGAGTTTTGAATAAGGTGCAGTATGCCTGGGTAAATAAGTACCATCCCAAATGTATGGACAGCAGCATATGCTAACAATTGAAGTGTAGTCCTTCGAATTGTAGATAATTCACTATTAGCACATTGTTTAAATGGATTAGTGTCTAGCCAAATGTTCCTGTATAACAATTTCATGATTTCAATATTTTATTTTATTAGACAACAACTTTAGAAAAAACTGATGGAGAATTTACCTTTTATGGGAAGGTAAAGAATACGAAACAGGCCATTTATAGAATTCAAAATCATACTTTCTTAAGGCTGCTAGGTAAGTGTCATGGGTCTTGTTTTGTTGTAAGTACTTTTAGGAATTCAATGTATTTCGCATTGCTCACTCGACCAACAGCTCGTATAATGAATGACAAGGCAAAAAGCCAACCAACCCCACTAATTAAAGCAGTCAGATTTTGTGTTTTCTCCCGGGTATAAAAACCTTTTCTATAAATGTACATACAAATAAAAGGTGATGTGTAGAAGCCTAGTTTTGAAAATGTACATACCTGAAAGTATAAAATAGGTATAAATATTCTTTTCACAGTTCTTGGTTTAGTGTGAACTAAAATTGTGACCTTTTTAGTTTGAAGTAAGAACTAGACTAAAACTTCTAGAAAAATAAGTAGTAATCAATTTAGTATTTAACATGAAATAATAACATAATTTAAAAGACACATCATAACATACTTACCATTTTGATTACTACATCTCCCCATTTTTCTAAACTGCGTGGTTGGTAAAAGACCTAAACAAAATTTTCATCGAGTAAATATTGGGTTGACAAACTCGTATAGACTTTTGATAGTCTAACAGCCACTGAACCATCTGACTAACCCAACTCCACAAAGCAAGAAAGTATTTAAATGTCTTATTTTAGGTTAAGGAAAAAAGTATCATTCTGGCAATCAATTCAGGGTTGAGTCATCATTGCTAAAATTTTTGAAAATGCCATGAAATCAAAAACAGTTTTGTAGAGATTACATGTCCTTGTCTCTCTTCTGAGAGCAGCGGGATGAATTTTATATTTGAGTTTTGTACTTGGACAGATACCTTTGCCCTTATTTAACTTGGAATGTCTTGTTGATAGAACTTGGGTAGCAAAATGAGAAGAGGAAAACATTTGGCTGGCACAATTGTCTTTTTGTTCATGAATCACAAATTACTTTGTACTCATCCAGATAATAGATGTGTCCATGTCTGGAGAAGACGTGGAGATTGAAAGGTAAAGAAATGCCATTGATACCATTCAATGAGGCTTAAAATCAGTATACTATTGGGGTGGAATAACAATTGGCAATAGAATACCTTTAATCTCTTATCAAGGCTCCATAACTGCAGTTATGTAAAAAACAGATACAATTGATGGATTAGCCAGACTATTTAAAATAAGCTTAAAGCTCAATGTTAGTCAAAGCTGCTCTCTGAGAATACATCACAAGATTATACTAGTCTGCTGGATCACCTTACTTAAACCTGATAAAGCACTTGTGGCAAACTCTTAAGCAAGCTGTTTGCAACCATCATGTAGCAGCAAGCTGTTTGCAACCAAATAGTGCAGGAGTTCAGGGAACCGCTAGTCAACAATGGGACAGGTTACTACATAAAATGTTGAATTACTTAATCTTCACCATGCCTAGGAGGATCTCATGTGTTCAAGCCAGAGAAGGAGTTATTAAGTACAAAATAAAAACCTTGACTTAATATTTGTTTTTGTTTTTATTCCATTTAATTTTAGTCACAATTACATTATAATTGAACAATTCAATTTTTCTGGAGATATACTCATATGGCCATTGCGGTCTGTCCCTTTCAGTTAAAATACCATTGGAATCAATCTCTAGAGTAAGTTTCTACTTTTTAAACTATTAAAGGAATGTGCCCTTAAAATTTCATCCTCATTATGAATTAATAGTAAAAGTAGCTTTGCTACTGTCTGACACATACTTCAACCTTCAAAAATATGTTTTCAATTTTTTTTAACATTAAAACATATGTAAATTATATATATTAACCTTTTTCGAGAAAATTATACATTTTTTTTTTGAGATATTCAAAATTTAAAGGCTGATAAAATGATGTAATTGCGAGTTGCCTACCAGAGCGATTTCTTTTTTATTTTATGACTTTTAATCTAATAATTCAACATTTAAAAAAATTTACTCTATACGGCTAAATTATACTTGACGTATTAAACTGAAATTTTATAACATCTCTTTCTTAATGAATACAAATTTATAAATCATGTAAATATGATATCCTGCAAATGGACTAATATTTAAATTGTACTTACATCACATGGACCATCACCATGTTTCCTATACAATCGTGGAGAAAATAGGCTAAGCCAAAATAATTTCAACATTCTATATATTATTTCACAACTTTCTTCTTCTTTTTACTTTATGACGGTTTATATATTTCTGAAATTTAGGGGTTTGTTAATATTTTTAATACAATTCTTTTCAATCATCAAACCCAGCACAGCAGCACACCTAATTGAATAAAATATTCAATTTAATTATTTAATCAATACAATTACAATACTAGTCTTAGTCATAGATAATACATATATAGTACCAGTACCACACTGGAGTCTGGAACTGATAGTATTTAGTAGTTATCATAGATAATACATAATTATTATAAACTAATTGTTTGTTTGTTCATAGACGGAGAAAGCTAGTGAGTAGCTAACACCACGAGCCACAGTCTCTTGTATTTCTTGTACTAACTGATGTTTTTGCTTTTAGTCCCGAGACTATTAAAGCTTCATCTGATGCAGAACCGGTGGGCTAGCCAGAACCCACGGGTTTGGCTCTCCGCTGTGGGTAGGGCCACGCATGTGCTCATGCGTGCGTTTAACTAAGGTCATCTAAGGGCCATCGAGGTCGCGGTTCGGACCGAAACCCCGATGGCCGTTGACTGTGCAATTAGCTAATCGGTGGCTGGGAGCGATGAGAACCGCCCCGGAACCGCGGGTGTACCTTGTGTACGCGTTGTGTTGGTCTCGCCATGCTCAGAGGCGAGGGCGAACTAATGTGTTTGTTGTTGCACTAACTGTGGGTATAGTGTTATCCGGCGGGACCCCCGGTGGTGCGCTGAATGTTCCAGCGCGCCTTACCTGGAGGAGAGGGGAGTTGCTCCCCGTGAGGGGGCTGCTAAGGCTGCCAGCGCTGGCAGGGTCGCGGAAGTGTGCAAAAGCTTTCCCGTGACCCTGCCGATATGCGCCTAGGTGTAACATCGTGGGGGTAACCCGCTCTTGCCCCCGCGAGGGCGGGTATGCGTAGGCACTTCCCCCACGTCAACAAAAAAAAAGATATAACTAATGGCGGTAGAGATTCGCGGTGGTCTGCTTTCAGACTAAGGGCCAACCACAAGAAGGCGGTGAGCGATGGCCTCTAGGAGAGTTTCCCACGTGGTATGTCGGTGTTCCGATACGCGATTTTTGACTTCCAACTGAAGGCGTCGAAGTAAGGTTCGGTTAGATTCTGATCGGTATCGGTCGAAAGCACGTTTGGCTACATTTTTTTCTCTAATTAGCAGTCGCAGGTCGGGCGGAAAGTTAAACCGTCGGTCACCCGACAGTTTCACCGTCCTTTCCGAACCTGCGACTGCGGAAGTGATAGTTTCTCGAAGACTTGCTATCGCTCGATTTGCATCATCGATCGTAGCTATCGTCTCGGGTAGGTTGACTGTGTGCTGGAGGACTGTCTGCTCGTTTGGCAACTTTTGAAGTCCATTCCTGGATAGCTCCGTTACCTGTACGGGTTCTTGGGGCTGCATGTGATCATGTTCTGTTTTGACTGCTCACGTGATCAAAGTACTGCGAGTACTTTACTTCGAAAACGCCAGTGCTCACAGTAGAATATGGCGACGATTTATGTCATCATATATTTCCCTAGGGTACTGAGACAGTATACTGGCAGTCCATAAGGGAACAAATTTTTCTACAGTGATAGCATTATCCAGTGCTCGCAGTGCAGATCGGAACATACCCTTCATGAATCCAATTGCATTTAATGTCTTTTTCACAAAGAGTACTAGCAGACAAGAGATAAAATTTTTAAGCAGTATTCTTTTATTACCCTAAGGTGTATAACTTTTTACGTGCGTACATAAGTGTAAATATATATATATATATATGTATACAATATCATGGTTGAAAAACCGTAAATAATGGAATAAATCACGGAAATGAGAAAACATCCAATGTATCAGTGGTTCAGGGATTCTCACAGTTAATAGTACATGATCAAGATTCAGGTGCCGGCCAATTAAAATTAAACATAACTGCACCCAAGGACGTGTGTGCGGGCACCGAAAAAATGTTTCTCTCATGTTTTCCTCCAAACCTGCCAAAAGAAATATAACTTCAACAATTTGTCGTTGTCTGATCTTTTTGAAAAATCTTAATTACCTATTACCTACTACAATTAATTATAATAAAAAATTTAACAACGTTTACATACTTCAGCTTATATCTATTTTAAGTATTCACAAAATTTATGATTATATCAATGATAATTTAAAGTAGTAAAAAATTATTATTACATTTATTCTAGGATGGTCATAACAATAACCGTAAAAAGATAAATATAATTTATATGTAATAATAACTTCAAATTAAAGAAATATAAAAATATTTAATCAATCATTATTTTTAAAACAACATTGGTATTCCTATTCTGTAAGTGTAAACATATAGTCTATGGCATTCATTTTGATTTAAAGTTATTTTTCATGAACCTGCATGAAAAAATATTTTAATTCTTACTTCTTAACCTTACCTCTGAATAGTCATGAAACATGTTTCTTATTGTGAAAAGTGCTTTTCTAACCGCTTTCTTTGCTGCAATTGTCACAGGAAGAATTCACAAGTTACCCCTTACGGTAAAGAAATTGGCTACAATATGCTTTATCAAAATTTGAGTTTTATTGTAATTTTCATTTTTAACATCCTAATTTCATTGTTACTAATTGCCTTTCTATTTATCAAATAGTTATAAAATAAGTAAATGCGTTGTGTTTAACTCGGTTCGTATCCTGTACTCAATCTTATATTTTTAATTAAGTAGCGACGCAATGTAATGTATTATACATATGAACCTTCCTCTTGAATCACTTTATCTAGTGATAAATTATTACAAAATGATAAATATTGACATTAATATTTATACGATGGTAGGATGGTAATGATCAACGGTGGTAGGGCCACGCAGCAGCCTCGGCTGTTGCGCGAATGGGCAGGCTCGTCCGGGTAAGTACCACGACCTCACAGAAGACCGGCGTAAAGTGGAAGTTTATTACTTTCGCGTTTCGTCTGGTGAGTGAGGTAGCCGGAGCTAAATTTCCAAAAAAGGTTCTCGACGCATCATCAAACCCTCGGGTGTAGCAGATATCCATGGGCGGCGGTATTCACTTAACATCAGGTGAACTGTCTGCTCGTTTGGCAACATTTCACATAAAAAAAAGATACTAACGTCGCTCAATTGTGTTGCCTTCCCGGAACCTCTCCACTAACATTTAAACTTTATGGTATGGTATTAAAGTTCAAATTAACTAATTAGTATTATTACAAATCTTTTGAAGGGGAATATAGAAAAGTGTTGTTCGTAGAGTTTTTCAGGCATTTTTTAAAAATTTTCTTTCCACCATCATCCTCATACTTCAAGGAATATGAAAAATAATTAGCGAAATCGGTTCAGCTGTTCTCGAGATTTGCGCTTAGCAACAAATTCAGCGATTCATTTTTATATAACTATCGAGATTTGACTTTTAGGGTGATGAACGACATTATGTGGACCTGACAACCTTCGGGTTCTTCCAGGGTGGAGTTTTGGATGTACACATGGTTAATTTTATGTTACCATCAGGCCCTGTTTCAGGAGAGGTACATAAAATTTTCTTTTTTTGTTAACTTGAGATTTTTGAAATATGCAAAACTTTATTCATATTGAAATGCTAATGTTTCTGCTTGTTGAATTAACCTAAGTAATGTCTATTAAGCTTATTTGTAAGTACTAATTAATTACAGGTATAAACTTTTTGATATATCTATCATATGATATTTGAACTCTAAACAATTTAATTCAGATGGGTTGCCATTGGTTAAATAAAACAACTTTACAGATTTATCACATTTTATTTTGATTTTAAAATGCCAATGTTTCAAACCATTTCCAGTGTTTCATGGCCTGAAAAGCTGGAAGATCAAAATAAAATGTGATAAATTTCATAAAATTTATCAATTTAACCATGTACAATAATCATGTAAAAACAAAAAATAAGTATGGCCTGCCATTTTTGGAGATTCTGTTTATATGATTTTAGAGTTTAAAATTTTATAATTCTTATGTTGTTCTTATGCCATAAGCTTATTCAAATTCAATTATTTTTAAGAAAGAAATATTTCTTTTTGAGCCAGAAATAATTTTGGTATTCTTTTCCAATACATTCCAAATTTTTTTCAACCTATCAAAAATTTTATTTGGTAAAGTAAAGTCTTTACTAAAATAACCAACAAGGAGAATTTTGTGGTCGCTTATAGTTTTAGAGAAAAAAAAATATATTTAAAACATTATTTTCACTAAGAAAGAGAAGGTTAAGGCTTGCAGTTAACCTCATGGTTATTTTTTTTTATAACCACCCAGCGTATCAGTACATTTATTTACATGATGTCAACAAAAAAATCTCGAATTTCTTTAGTGAAAATAACAAGGTTTAATTTTTTTTTTGAAAACTAAGCTACCGTCGAATTATGCTTGTTGATTATTTCATTAATGTTGATTATTTTTAATTATTTCTTGAACAAATAAAATTTTTGTTAGGTTGAAAACCTAACCTAATGGAAAATTTAACCATAATTTTTCTTTCATATTCATTTTAAACAATAACAAGTACAGTGTTAAATATTCTTTATATTTCTATCTTAGTACGGATTCACACTGGACAGAACTGCAAATGATGCAATAAATCCTTATCTAGAGGCGCATACGGATATGTGTTTTTTAAATGAAAGTGATAACAGTATAGTATCACCACAGCATCCTGCAATTGTTTTCTTAAAAATGGATTTTATTAGTTCCAGGTATTGTATATATTTTTGAAATTTTTAAAAGAGGTTTTCTTGAAAATTAATATATGCATATAAATAGCTTTTATGTTTAACTTAGTGATATTAAAGCGTCTGCTTCCCGAAGCAGCAAAAAACCTTGTGTCCATTTTTTTTTAAATTGGAATGATTTATCTTAAGTGAGGAAATAAGCACTATTAAAGATTAAATGTAAAAAAAAATAGTTTAAAATTTCTGATCTCAAATTACATAATTTTTTTTAGATTGAACATTACATGTAAGGGTGAAGTGTCAGCACTGCATCTATACCAAAACAGAACTGTCATACCAATTGATCGAATTAAGAGACAGTCGCAGTACTTATTTATTAATAGAAGAAGGAGAGCTGTTGTTGGTAATGTCTTTTATCACTGTAAAACTATTCACCATTGTATTGTCATACACAATATAACTAGAAAAATTAAAATATGCCACAGTAACTATCAATTACTAAACATTTTAATAAATTATCTACTTTCATATTTTGTTTTGATCTCCAAAATCATAACATTTAATTTATATAAAATTCTCGTGTCACGGTGTTTGTAATTGAACTCCTCCGATACAAATTTTATGTGCATAATTGGCCAGGGTGGACAATTGGACAACATCTATGCTATAGATTATTATAAGCAATGACATCCTATGGCAAAAACCTAAAAATTTTAGTTAGGAAATGATTATGTTAATTATAATAATGGCATTAAGAAATAACAGTGCCGTGTCGTTTCTTATCGAATACCTTTAAACAAGCAATTCTTGTATGTATATATACACACACACACACCTAATATATATATATATATATATATGTATATATGGAATCTCTGAAACGGCTCCAGCGATTTTCATAAAATTTAGTATGTGCGTAGATTCGGGGGCGAAAAATCGATCAATAAATATCATTCGATTATGACGGTAAATTTCGCCGAAAAAAAATGTTATAATAGCTCGGGCGGCCCTGAAACAGAAGGCCGCGGTTCGTGTCACGATCATTTACAGACTTATTTTTTATTTTTTTACCAGATTATTGCGTTCTTTATTTTTTATTTCCAAAATATAAGATTTACCAAAAAAAAAAAACCGAGCAAAGCTCGGTCCTCCAGATATTGTTATTTAACTGAGCTGCTATAGCTTTGTATATGTTGCCATACCAGTTACATTATAAATAGTCACAGTGCCAATTTATGATTGTTTATTCTGATTTGATCTGATCAAAATGTGTCAATACATATAGCCAATCAAATTGATTATATGAATACAAAGTATAGGCCATCCCTAAGTTATATAACAATAGAATAGAATTGATGGCAATCATTGCACAATCAATATAAATTTATGAGTGAGATCAAATGATGTTGAATTTAGTTTTTACACTTTTAGACTCCTTAGTATAGATTTGTTAATTTAATATATCGTAAAATCTTTTGTAATTCGTAATATGTGTATATTATGTATATGTACAAGGTGGCTTTTCTAAGTGTATCCATTTTTTTTATTAAATTCTAGACAAATAATGTTATATAAAAATTTTAAATAGTTAAAATCACTCTTAAGTAATTAATTACATTCATTTGAACTTATCTCAAAAAGTGCGTCATTTATACGCAACTCATTTATTTTACGCGCGATCATTCATAACTAACACGCACTCAAGTTCGTGCACTGTAAAATTTAGGTATTTATGAATGATTACCGCATTGTTAACACATTCTGTTTTTTAGGGAATAGAATGGCATTTTTTTGGGAAAAAAGAACTTTATTTTTTATTCCAATAAACGATTATACCACCGAGTCTGAACCTCCTGTGTAAATTTGGGCACTAAAAAATCTCCCTGTATATACATATATACATACATATATATAATGTTTTAAAAATGTATTTAAAATTTTAAAGTACATTTAAAATCTGCAAGTTGTTTTGTATCATAAAATTTTTTATTGTTAACAATTGGTATATGAGTCGGCTATATTAGAATATTCATTTAAAAGTAAGTCATAATGGTACATCAATAAAAAAGTCATAACACATAATATATACCAATCTTAGTATTTTCATGTTCAATCGTATTAACAATTAATTTAATGTTATATTAATTTTGTTGATGTGTATTATCTTCAAAATCCCATTATTTACTGCAACCATATTTTTTTTAGAATCAGAAAAAAACCAAAAGAATTATGTTACTCAATGTTCGAATGCCGTTCTCCCGATTACGAAAGAAACACGCAATGGTTTTGATTATTACAACACTAGTGTAAGTTTTCACTTATAATTTTGGTTCATATTAATAATGACTATTCATTATATGATCATATGTAGTGCAGCTATAGCTTTTGATATAATTTTAACACTATTGAATATATTAATAAATTAATTTTATTTATATCCCTAAATTTTTTAATGGAGGTACAATCATCAATATGTATGATGTCATTCATATTAGTGGAATCATCATTACTCCCTATTTTGTGGTTACAATATTTCCTGAATATTGTAATATTTTATTTGTTACAGTTTGCAATGTATGTAGCTTCGGACAAAGAAGAAGGGCTTTACAACTTATACTTCCACAATTGTCCAGGAAAGGGCAATGGCCCTTCTATAAATGTCATGGTGACTATAAATAAATCATTCTACCAGTTTATGTTTTATTTAAATATTTAAGATATTTGAAATAATGAATGCGATATTAGACGTTGCTAGAATGTTTTTCATAAAATTGATAGAAACTGGTAAGAGTTTTTTAAAATCATATTTCTTGTCATTTTTCAGCTGGAAATATATGAAAGCAACGACGGCAACTTCCTCTCTGCAGGTGAAATGCCGTTGCCGGCGTTATATAGTATGATGTCGATTATTTTCTTTTTGAGCGCTGGATTTTGGACTTTTATTCTGAAAACAAGTAGACATCCCGTATATAGGATACACATCATAATGTGCATTCTTGTGTACCTAAAGGCGCTGTCGTTGGCCTTTCATGGAATAAACTACCACTTCATTCAAACACGTGGAGAGCACGTCACGACTTGGGCGATACTCTATTATATAACGCATTTGTAAGTTATTGGTGTAATTTTTTTTATAGAATAAAATTCCATGTGCTTATGTCCAAAACGATAGTTGTTGTTTTGGGTGTCATATAAGGATTTTGTGGATGATAGATTAAAAGTTGCAAAAAATGTTGAAGATAAAATCTCAAAAATTTCTTTATTCGTAAAAACTAAAGAGCCGTGAATAGCTCAGTGTCCGGGTGTTTGCCTTTAATTCAATAAGTAACCCGAGTCCTATTGACGGTGCCAGCACCAAAGAAACTGTCAATTTTAAGTGCTGACTTATCACGCGCTGAGCGGTGAAGGTAAACCTCGTGAGGAAACTTGCATATTTCAGAAGTAATACCAAAAAATATTTCGAACATATGTGAAGTCCGTCGATGCGCAGTTGGGCCGAGTGGTGGACTATGCTCAGATACCCTCAGTACAGTCTCTCCAAGGCCTTTGCCCAGCAGTGAGACACATAAAGGCTTTTACTTTAAGACTCCTTGGAAATACTTAAACTTATCCTTTTGCATGATATATTTGATTAAATGTACATATTTGATATATTGTATTCTGTAAGTAACTAAGTTATTGTTTCCTATTACAAACTAGCTATGTATTTTTTATTTTAAGATGATATCATTATATTACCAACCAAGTCCAAGTAAATTGCAAAAACACCCTGATGCAAATTTAGACAGAATATATCAATTTTATGATTTCCTTTTATAAAAAAAATTGCCAGCACTATGTTTATTTTTTAGCAAAACTTCATGTTAAATAAACCAAGTGCTATAATTATTTTAAGGCTGAAAGGAGCTGTACTCTTCGTGACGATTGTCCTCGTGGGAACTGGATGGAACTTCATAAAGCACATTTTAGCGGACAGAGACAAGAAGCTGTTCATGATTGTGATACCATTGCAGGTATGATATTGATTAACACTGAAATCTTTTTTTTGGTATTAATAATAAAATCCTAAAATACTTACCTTCTTATGCACCATATTATTCTGTGCCTTAGGGCTCGGTCAAAGTTTACTCGGCCTATAAATAAATGGAAGAAACCGATCGTGATGGTGACCATATGTGGTTTCTAGACGTGGAAATTGGTTTCAACGCACTATTAAACGCGCAAACTTATTTTATTAAACGCTGAGCAACGGTTGTCGCTTAGCTTGAATGATGTGTAGCGAATAAAAACTAGGCCACAATCTTTTCTAACAGGTGGTGGCGAACGTGGCGGAGATTATAATAGCGGAGAGCGAAGAGGGCGCGGCGGAGCACAACACCTGGCGCGATCTCTTCATCTTCGTTGATCTCCTATGCTGCGGAGCCATTTTGTTCCCTGTAGTATGGTGCGTGTATTGATTACATTGATTAAAATATAAATTTATAGTTAAACCTCGAAGCTGATGCCTTTCGCATCGCATTCGAAATTGTTTGTCGTGCAAATGTGGATTTAATATTAGCGGTTATAAAATGAAGTGACTTTCCATTAAGGAATCAAGTTACTTTACTATGTTTATTATTGATTTGTGTTACTTTAAGATAAACGTAAAATAAGCTTCTTATGCTTTTTATAGTATAAATTAACGCAAATATCTACCTAATATCTGAGTATGTAACATTTAGTTACAAATCTTATGTTCTTTTCATTAGCTGTAAACACATAGGTGCGTGAGATTTTCATCACTTACATCTTTCCAGTTTTTAACTGAATCTTTAAAAAGTTTTTTAGTATGTATTCATTGGTATTCATTCACTCAGAGGGCCTAATCTATTAGGAATCGAAAGCCGCATAAAAACACTTAACACTTCTTCGAGAATAAAAAATAACTGGAGTAAGTGTCCATAAACAGGGAGGAAGAAGAAAATAATCGAATTTTACAATTGTGTTCTTAACACGAAAATTTGTTGCACCTATCACAAAGTTTAGACAGCGATTTTACGTAAGTAACGTTAGAACGATTTTACGCTATTTATTCCAAAATAAAAATAATTTCTACGTAAATATGAAACTTGTATGCTCGGCGAGGTCTGCGCATGTACCGTCAAGTGCAAAAACCTCTCGACAAATCTAGTTAAAAAAAAGCTATCTTCCCTATATATTTGCGACTGTACACAGTCAAGGAGCGAGACAGGAAGAGATTTATTATGCGGCACAAAAGGAAGAACAATACTCTTCCACTCGCCGAATGATCCCTCTGTTGTATACAAACTGTATAGCGCAGTGTTTTAAACATACTTCAGTGTATGACATAGCCTATGTAACTATAAAATCCATCTTTGCAGGTCTATACGCCACCTGCAGGACGCGTCTAGCACAGACGGCAAGGCGGCGATCAACCTGCGCAAGCTCAAGTTGTTCCGTCACTTCTACATAATGGTCGTGTGCTACATTTACTTCACCAGGATCATAGTATCTGTGCTCAAGGTGAATACATTGTTTAATATTAAACATACCCTGTACAGGTATATCGCTCGTTGAAACTATTGAAACTATGTGTCGGTAAATTAACTAGATGGGAAGAAGAATATACACTATATAATTCACATCTTCCACTCCGGACTTTTTATTTTGACTACCTGGCCCGCGTAACTTTGCCAAATTCGCGCCAAATCTCATTCATAGCGTCATTAATTGGATACTTACTCAATACCGCCGATAAATTTACCTTACACTGCTATCTGTTAGAATCTTATGGAACTCAGATAATTATAACTCTAAGTCTATCTCTATCATATATCTCTTAATCTGTATCAAACTGCACACAGTTTGCAAAATTTGTTTTAAACCGGTTCAGTAGTATAGGGAGTTCATCACGTGCCAACAATGTGGCACGTAATTTTTATATTTATAATATAAAGATAAAGTGCATACTATCTAAACAAGAAAGTCAATCCTATTTCGTTGGCATACCGTTACTTTGGCAGATGTGATTATAATTAATAGCAGGATGAAAAACTTGCTTGCTACCTCGATCGTAGCCCTTTGATAAACAAACGCTTTAGCCCCCGATCCTTGGACTAACGGCCGGTTAGTATATTCTATCTGCAGATAGATTTGATTACTAGCTACAAGTATTTGACTAACGGTAACCCGGAATTAGAAACCAGCCAATTCAAGTGAAACATGTTGCAGATCCTTGTGCCGTTCCAATACTCCTGGATCGACGAGATGTTCCGCGAGATGGCAACCTTCGTGTTCTTCGTGATGACCGGCTACAAGTTTCGGCCGGCTGCAGCAAACCCCTACTTCACGCCGAACCACATCGATGACATCGAACCGCAAGTGTAAGCAACGCAGACGACTTTACGTGCCATTTTTTCCAAAGACAATAATTCTAACATCTTTATTCAATAATATAATCATTACACTCACTTGTTGATTGTGGAAATACTAGTACAGAACTCAGTGGGCCTTTCTTTTTATACTGTTATTTGATAGTGAGATATATATAGAATATTATATTATAGTCCACTTGTGTTATAATTATAATAATCACTAATATTATAATAACCTTTAACACACAAACATTCCTTTAGTTACAAGTTTTTTTGGGATTTAGTTGAAGAAACATATACATTGTTCCATAAAAGATTCACTTATTTTACGCAGTCTACTAAGGTGTTTACAGGTCTATGGGATAAAGTATGCTATGTAGTTGCAAACGAATTGTTGTTGCCAACTTCAATAAGAATGGGATGTGTACTTCACCCACTGACAAAACAAAACAACAATAATACTGTCACTTCATATCTGTCTTCTGTGACTGTGTGATGGAAAAATCTGTTAGTTGGTTTATGTATTCTTTAAGCAGTATATAAGTGTGTGTGTAACATGCTTTCTTATTGTGGATCCATTTTTTGAAGTTTTCCACATCAAGAAGCTGTCCACTTAGTAATTTACAAAAACTTTCTTAAAAACTTCGGGTTTTTACCGACAGTCAGGCAGGTAGACAGAACACAGTGTGATTCTATATAGATATATATAGTTTCCTTTAGGGTGTTCTAAAAAAAAATTACATACTTGGAAGTGTTCTCAAAAATCTAAGTGCAGAAACTAGGAACATATTTTTTCCCGAACGGTTTCAAGACATTTGGGTATATGTTACATTTCAGTTAGGTATATTTATTCGATTAGGCTATTAATGTTAATTTAGCTATGTATGAATGTATTAGCTATGTAGCTATCTTTTTAATATAATTATTAATATTATGTAATTCAATTTATATTCCACTTAAACATCCCATTGATGAATACAATACAGAAATATCTTACGTTGCTGCCTCATGTTCTTATCAACAATGTTTCCTTTACAGGCTATCGGATATCGGCGTTTTAGAAGGCGTCTCTCGGGTGTCGAATAGAGAAAAGAAACGCGACGACTTGCAACCCCTTATGCAAGAAACTAATTACAACTCCGACTAGTTGCTGCTGGTGTACGTTAAATTGTTATGTAAATTGAATTTATTCTTTTAATAATGATTTAAAAAGCAAATAAAGCTAATAAATTACGTATTGGGCGCGCAAAAAATGAATATCCCTCTGAAGTTCGTCAGAGTCACTGTGTAACGGTGTACAGCGTTATAATAAACATTGCTATACAGTTTTTGTGTACATAAATTTTTCAAATACGAAGGAGCTCACTTCACTCAAATCCATTAAAATTTTGCGCGGCCAATGCACATTCCATTCATAGTATTTTTCCGTTTAATGTGAAATAGTAAAAATGATTGAATGAACAATTTAAGAAAATAGAGGTTATTAACATTCTTAGCCATACATGAAAGAGAAAAGCCATATGAGCAATAATACTGTATCAATAAGATTTTAGGTGTTAAGTGAAATGATTCTTATATAAGCCACTAATAGAAGTAAGTTTTTTAAAATATATAACTTAATATAAATGTACAGGGTGGGAAACATTGCATAGGAACTAATTAGAATAGCTTCCTATTCTATCATAGCATTCTATTGTCTGTAGTGACTATTGAAACTTGGACGTTAGTAAAAACTTAAATGCTAATTTGCATATGATTGACTTTTTTATAAATAGCGCGTCTGTGACTGAGGTACACCGTCAATTCCGCCGGAGATTCAGTATCAACGGTTCCTTTTCTAAAGGCAGCATAAACCAGAATGTAATAATCGCTTCCTATGCCCCAACCTGTATAAAAGATAATATTTTCTTTTAAAAAGCACTAATAAGTCATAAAATTTTGAATAATATTTCAAAGATGACAGAAAATAAGGATAGTGATTTGTGGGAAATTATGACTACAAAATACAAATTATTAGTAAATGGTCAAGGAATAATTGTTTTTGCAGTTGAACCAATACAAAACTTTAAAGATTTGTATCAAATAGATGAAAGTTACTTTTTGAATTATTAGCAATAATATTTTTACAAGTTTTTGACGCTAAGGATGGGCTGCACCAGTTAACCATTCTTTGTAAATAACCCGTCTAATCAATTGTTAGAAAGAAAAATGAGTGGCATTATCGAATCGTTGAGCATGGATAAGGAGAACAATATGTGTGATCTATCTGTCTAAAAAGTTGGTGGCGCTACGGTGTTTAAGTAAAGTGGTTGTGAATTAATAGTTACCATGTTTACAATCTTCTAAAATTCACCTGGGCTAGGTAAGATAATTATTCATCTTTCATAAGCTAGCACCATTCTGGTTGATTTTTGAACTTTTAGTTACGACTTACCGCTGGTCATTTATTCAACTGGTCTCCATTAACTTAATAATTAAAAGATTGAATAAATAACGTCATATTTTAACTATTAACTAAACAATTCAATATTGGTTGGTTACAGTTAAAGTTTTGGTCAAGCCTTTGACATTTCTGTAATAATTATGAATAGAATATTTTATGAATAGAATATTTTATTTTTTCTTAATTTTCTTACTGCAATAGTTTTTAAAACAAGGTACTAGCGAACTGAAGCTAATACTGTAGGAAAAACTTAGCATAACTGAGAACAAAAAATCAGAGTGCGATCATCTCAAAAATTCGTTGCAAGCGATAATTGAAGTTATTGCAGAAAAATAAGAAATTTATAAAAATTACTTGTGTGATAATGACAATAATTGTAAATAGTACGATTTGTTATTTATTGTTTTTGCAGTTTTCAGTATTAATGGTTAAATCCTTAAAACTTGGCTTGAAGCCAGCCATTATAGTGACATTATTTTAACTAAACAGTTTAAGAATCAGCCTTTGACTTGTTAGGTGCGATTCCTCTGTTTCTTTATCAAGTAATAAGATTGAAATAAAGATTTTTAGCATTTTGTGCTATCTAATTTAATAGAAATATAAATAAAACAAAGTGGTCTATAGTCCCATGTCCGGATATACATTTACCATGCCAACTGAAACATTTGCTCATTGTATCATCCTTTATTTTTTTATAATTTAGTGGATTTACCAAAATTTCTATCTAAATGCTTTTACCTAAATCACATATATATTAGAAAATGTAATATTTTATGACATGGGGATAATCTCGGAACCCATGAGTGATTTTGAATGTTATGTGAGTAAAATAGGTACAATAGTTTCAGTACTAGGTAAGTAGAGATAATGTGATTCCAAATCTGTCGGTTTGTCTGTTCTCTTTATTTTCCTCTTTACCTCTTTTGCTGTCTGCTGTTACCTATTTTGTTTAGAACTACACTGAATTTGCAAATTTAATCAATGTTTAAGAACTTATGATGCCATTAATCTTTATATTGATTGGTGTCTATTATGATTGCTTACTTGAGACGATTTTTCTGCAATATTGGTTATATATTGTAACATAAAAAATGTTTTCCCCTGTTTACTTAGGAAAAGAAACACCCATTACTTCATTACTTCTAAATTCTATTCAATGGTGCACCCAACCTTGGTTATCATAACCAACAATGCAGGGCCGGATTTAGGGGAGGGCAACTGGGGCTACTGCACCGGGCCTCCACAAAAGAGGGGTCTCCACAATAGAGACTTTGGAAAAAGCAAATTAAATTCAGACTAGTAAACACTAGTAAACAACTTTACCTTTCATATTTTTTTCGCGTATTACCTTTAACCACAGTAAAAAGATGATTACATTAAATATTAACAGAAATCAATGGAAAATAATTTGGGCCCAAGGGGCCTCCACTCCTTTGTTGCCCTGGGACTCCTGACCTGTTAATCCTGCCCTGCAACAATGGGCAACCCATTGTCAATATAAAATATATATATATATGTAGGTAACCAACATCAATAGTTGTTTTGGTGCAATTCTCCCTTATTCTTTTAAGTAAATTATACACACATACAAATTTGTGCATAAACAAAAATATTGATATAAACATAAGTAGAGTTGTATACTTCACTAGAAGAGATAAACATTTAGGGGTATTTCATATCACTGTATCATGTTGGATATTGTATAAAGAAACCTAAAGAATATAGCTATTATTCCATTTTGTAATTATGTTATAACATATTCACGTATTAATGGAATATATGACATAAAGTGTATTCCCATTTGATGTGGTAAACAAAGGACTTCTCAAGAAATAAAAAAAAAAATTACATTTCAACATTGTCATCAGATTGTTATCAAAGAACTGTACCTGTGCCAAATAATTTACGCATATGTAGACAAGTTTCTACCCACGCGAAGTGCTGTCAATATCATTTATTTAGATTGTGATACCTTAAAAATTATACACGTCATCATTGATATTAGAATAAGTATATGTAATACCGTACATTAATTGTTATATCAGTACCTCAGAGGTAAACAACTTTATGTGACACAAGACAAATTTTACAGGAGAGAAAGAAATGCGTGAGTGAATCCTTGAATGTATTATTGATTGTGATGTCATATATGATTGGATATCTGTATATTAAGGCGTGGAGCTAAACCTTTGTACCCCCTTTTACGAAAACTGCGCGGACGTGGAGTATGAAATTCCACGCTTATAGTTTATATAGAGGAGTGCAGAATGCTGGTATAATTTTTAATTATATATAAAAAATACATTAAATCAAGAAATAAAAACATTACACACACTACCATGTGTAATTATTATGGTCGAATTTTTTTGACCACTCGGCCACCACTAGTTTTACTAATTATGCTTCCTAAGACTTGCTTTATACTATTGTTTAGAATTGGTTTTTGCGATTTTAGTGGTGTAAGAAAAGTAACTTTGAAAAATTTGGAGTTACTATTGTATTTCCTCTGAGGTACAGATGTAATCATTAGATTCTACCTGTTTGATTGATTGCACAAATGGGCTCACTGAAAACCGGCATGCAGTGGAAGTATTAATCTTTGGCGATTCTTCTTGTGAGTGAGCTAACTAGGGCCCACTTTTTTTTAAGGTTGTCAAAGCATCTGCAAGCCATTGAATGTGTTTCCTTAGGCATTCGTTTAACATCATGTGAACCGCCTGTTCGCTTGACAACTATTCATATAAAAAACTATTTTTGTTTATTATAGAATATCTTTTGAATTACTAAAAAAAATCCAAGCTTCTATCAATGAATTATTATAATATTTCATTGACAACTTTTCATATAAAAAACTATTTTTGTTTATTATAGAATATCTTTTGAATTACTAAAAAAAATCCAAGCTTCTATCAATGAATTATTATAATATTTCATTGTGATCAGTCATCCTTCGACAATACTTGGGTTGCACATGCGTTTTGATAAAATCAGAACTGGTACCTAGAGAGTTTGTAAAGACGATTAATGAATGTTTTAAAAATGGTAAACATTAAGTGATAAACATTTGCAAATTATAATTGAAGAGTTTAATATTACCGTTGATTATCGATTGTAAAATATTGATAAATAATGCAACTGTTGATTTACGAACTTAAAAAGTTAGTGTAAGTTTGTTTGTTACGCTTTCACGCCAAAACTACTTAACCGATTATCATGAAACTGTACACTAATTCTTAGAGGTATTAAAATGGACATAGGGTTCTTTTTATTTTTTATTTAAAAAAAATATATTTATGAGAGGGCTTCAACGCAAGCGAAGCCGCGGGTAAAGCTACTAATAAATATAAACAATTTTAACATCACACAGCTGTCGGCACCAAGATCTCAACGCTTTTGACGTCATACGTTCGCACTTTCGCAGTTGTTTCGCAACAACACGAAATGTCATTTTTATTGTATTAGCATGCAGAATTGTTATTATGATGATAATGACACGATACATAAATATAATTATACAGTGTTCATGCAGGGTAAAAAGCTGACGGTTAATTCTACTAACCAAAAAGGGAAATAAATAAAAGTATTTAAATTCTAAATTTAGGCAAATTACACATTTTGAAAAAGATTCTATAGTACAGCTGTTCTCTTAAAATTCGAAAGTTCATTATACATTCATAACTATTCATGCCTATTAGTTACAACTTAAGGTTTCAATCTAAATTGTATGAATTGGTATAATTATTTTTTTTGCAATGATATTGTTGCGAATGAACAGATTGATCTTGAAGTAACGTTTTATGATTCAATATTAAGGCATTTAGAATCTAGCACCTACTTATGTCGCTGGCTCAGTATTTTTATAAATGTAAGTTCTGTTGTAAAGAAATTAATAGATTAACAATTTTGCAATCGCGCCTGTTCGTCATTTCTGTTTTAGGATATGTAATTAGACGTTATTGACGAGGACGTTCTATAATTTATTGTGTAAGTTTATTTAACGATACCTAATCTATAAAAATATTTTTCTCAATATGTTTTATTAAATGTTTTTTTAAATTTTAGGTGCCTATCTGCATTTCTTACTGCTTGGTTAATGAGTTCTCATAAATGTACATATTTACAATGTATAATTTTCATAATATATGTTTATGTAGAATCAACTAGGAGCAATAATTAAAAATAATTTGATTGAGATCTTAAAATAATTTAAAAATATAGAAATTTCATAGTACCTACATACTAAAAAATAATAAAATCAAATGCTTAATACAGCGAGCATTTGAAATAAGTACCTATATATTTTATACGCGTTCGTAATTTAAGATACCGCTTTGTTTTTAGTGAAATTTTTTCGATACTTTTTAGCTTTAAAATAGTGTTTGAATAGAATATATTCGAAGCATTATTCATAATATTTTTAACTAATTAACAAATTATATAAAGAACGTCCTCCTGGCATAGTGCCGAGATTGATGCATTATGTGCGTCGTAAATTTTGGCGAAAAAAGAAGTTGGCTTTTTATACCAAAGACGTTAAAATTCTTTTTACACTTGCCCTAACTTAGATTTTAGGCTCTAATCCCTCAGAAGTCATCAATGTGTCTAGATCTTTGTTTCTCTTCCTATCAAAACAAGGCGGTCGGAGCCCTTCTCATCCTTTTTAGAGACACAATTAGAGCCCTAAGTGTGTCAGACTGGGGGTAACATTCGAGTGAGGTAATTGATCAGTGCTTTTTGTAATAGGAAATTTGGCATTGAACATAAATAAATGAAACCGCAAGCATATTTTTTGTGCAGCAAAATTACTACTGCATTACGTGAACTATCACCATCTAGTAAAATAACCGAATTAGGTGCAGAAAATCCGAAAAAAGTTACTGGACTTTTATAATTTTAAATTATATTTTAGTAAAAATAATGAAAAAAAAAAAACAGTTATTTTATTATAGTGATTTCATTGTAAATAATGGCGTGGTCCATTTTCAAAATTATTTAGGAGTTTTTGTTAATCGTTGTCTGTAGGTAACTATTAACATATCATCTACCTACTATCTATCACTAAGTCGTTTTATAATTCGACGTATGAATCAAATAGTAATTTTTGTAAGAATTGATGACTGTAATATAATGTTTTATAATATGTATTTAAATTACTTCATTATAAAAAAATAACAAAATGCCTTTAGACAATATGAAGGCGCGCTTAGAGCAATAAATCAATTGGACTAAATTAATTAGATAAGATTCATCTTAATATTTAAGATCTTAATGTATGTAAGTAAATTACTGTGTAAAAAAATTTCAATAGATTTAAATAAAGAAGTTTATTTCTGGTTTCATAACAGCTATTTTTATTACTCATTATCTTTATTTAGACTAGCTGTTATCCACAACGAGAAAAGAAAATTTTTAGTGCGACTTAGAGTGCTCACCGTACTGATTGACTCTTAGCTAAACAATGGTAGCGATATTGCCGTTCATTTAGCATTTTCGGACATTTTAATTGTACCTGCGGGGACGAGTGCTGGCGCCACGCCAGGCATTCCTACAGACGATGCATACCACCGAAGCGTAATACATTGTGAACTTAAATCTGTTTTCCCTATATAGCGCCGGACACGCTTTTTCTTTTTTCGACCCCATGTTCATTTCGACGTAACCGGGCAAACGTAGACGACTTCTCACCATAGGCCGTGCCATTTCAACAGCCGACAGCCAAGTTGAGCTAGACCATATGAGTTCCACCGAAGCTTGCGCGCGAACAGTGTCAAGAGCCTCGGGCGCCTTTGGCGCGACGCCATGGGCACGTGGCGTCGTCAGGAAGCCCGACGCGACGTAAACACGCCTATTCGCACGACTGATCTTGGCCAGATCTTGACCCATTAACACGGGCCCGATGTCAGAGCTGTGTCGCTTTGGGTATTTTTAGATGGTAAGCGGGAGCGGGGTTTTGTTGAGTATACGCGCACGCCGCATACGGGCCATTCCGCAAGATCTCCGTGCGCCGGGACCATGATCACGGGAAAATGACAACCCGAGGCATAAGACGGAAGAAGTCATCGCTCTCCGAAGTGAAAGTGGCTGTGATCGGTGCGCCCTCCGTCGGGAAAAGTGGTACGTGGGGCTTGCGGATTTAATTTAATTCATGGTGTTTTTAGAGATCGAAGAAGGAAGTGATAGACGGTGTTTGCACTATATCGGTTTCAGCTTTATACGGAAATGTTAATGCTTGTGTTTATCCTGGACGAATAAGGTAATAAAGCTTGATCCGTTCTAAATTAAAAAGAAATACTACTTCAATAAGTGTTTTCTAATTGTACGAACAATAAAACATGGGTATATATAGGTATAGTCCGTATAGCCTTGAATTAATAAATAACAATACTTTTCCATTGTGAAAATGGTTTGTGTAAAAAATATAAACCATAGACAGGATCTATTCAAAGTAACAGTGAAATATTCAATAATAATTTACAAGAGTGTGCTTCTGATCTTGAATATTCTATATTATTTTATAACATAGCTGTTCTAAAAAAAACTAGAAAAATTTATTCTATTTGTTTGATGAATCAACGACTCGACGTATCCGTATACATAAACTGATTCCTACGCGATCTGGACGACATCATTGGTATGAAAATAAATATATTGAGTCAAAAGTTACGTTCAAGGTTGATTTTAACTATAATATCAATAAAATTATATAATAGTTCAAAAATTTATCTTGTAGTAATATCGTGAATAATTATTATTCGGTAAATAATCTAACGCGTTCAATATAGTAATTAGAAATATGAATCTATTAAAGCAAAATAAAGATAAAAACAGAGAAAATAATTATTATAAATTATGAATATTTTAATAAAAATATATGTAACAAGTTAGGGAATGAAACTCACCGATAAAATTTCATTTCATTATACTTTTGCAGGAATAAGTTTTCTTTATAACATAATTAACGCGATACATTCATGTAGATATAATATAATTTTAATACGAATACGTCTGTATACATTATATTATAAATAAGTTAAGGTCTACAAGGTAGGCCGAGACAGATGCCAGACACAGTTGTTTCTAATCCCTGCATGACTTTGCCAAAATATTAACACGAAGGACTTACTAGACGAAGATAGACAATGCTGAGGCCTATTTATATTTATTCCTAATTCACTTATAAATCAATAAAACAGCATCTTTTACAACAGTTTTATAGGTACCTGTTTATTTTACAATTACTCTTCATCGTCTACTTTTGCGCAATAACCTAACTAACGAATACAAAAATGAATAAATAACCTAATTAAAGATCAATTTCATTCAGTAGTACGATTGGTAAACTTATAAACTCAAATCTGGAAATATAATTCCAGGATAAATTCAATTTACAAAACAAAAACAGCTCCAACCAATGATTCAAAATATAATTATTGTTTAAAACCTTTGAATTAATAATAGTTATTGGAGTGTGAAATTATGTTTAACCAGGTTTTTATTGGATATCATACTATCACCTATATTTCAGTATATATTTTTCTATTTATTTCATATATATTTCATTTATTATCTCTTGCAAAGTGTAATTCGATTTTATATATTAAAAGTAAGTAGTTGAAAATCATCAATTATAATACGAATTGTTAAATTACATTGTATATTATTAGTTTTTCATGCTTTGCGCTTTAATTAAGACATTGTTATTATTTATAACGGTTTACAGCGAACAACATGTGTTTAATGCTGGCGAACCGACAATACCGCAAAGCGAATTTATATATACAAAGTCGTATATTTATAATATTTATAGCGGATTCGAATACGGAACATATTTTGCTCGTGTTTACAAAATGTGTAAACACGCATATAGAATGTTGTATGATTTTAAACTATTCTAATCGTAGTTGAAGCTCGTATTTATATTCTCTTAAAATTATATTCTGTTAAATTATACTGAATAAAAACCCAAAATTAGGAAAATTTTTGACTATTTATTGAATTATATGATTCTATTGTAAAATATTAAAGGACCATGCCAACTCCAACGACTCCGAACAATTCGGCATCAGTTCTAAACATTCCCGTCCCCCGCAGATCAATCACCTAACAGAGCAAATGCCAAACGGTCTCAACTATCCCAAACCTTAGGTTATGAGCGCTCTTTGATGTCTCAAAGTCGTTCGACAAGGTCTGGCGCAACGGCTTGCTTTAAAGACCGTACGCACTCAACGTGCAAGATAGATTAGTGCATACCATCGGAGCCTTTCTAAATAGCGATTCGACAAATCGTTATTTTGATACCGAGGCTTTCCCAAGCTTTCTGCCTCTCCCCCTTGCACTACACGAGCGATAACTCTAAGAACTTACATGTCGAACTTGCGATTTTCACGAACGATTCTTCTAACTGGACAAGCATCCTGTTGAATGACTATTCGCATGTACGATGCCGAATACAAGAGCCGTGATAGCTCATGTCTGGGCGCTCGCCTTTAATTCAATATACTCGAGCAACCTGAGTTCGATTCCCGGTGCCGGCACCAATGAAGTTTTTAAGTTTAAGTGCTGACTTATCACGTGTTCCGCGGTGAAGGAAAACATCAGTAAGTGATTGGTCACACGACTTAAGTTTATATGTATCGGTCACACCCTCCCAAGAACTCCCAGCCAAATCCCTAGACAAGCACACAATGTATTGTCTAGGGATATCTTGTTATAGGAATTACAGGAAATATGGCCGTCCTGAGAACACCTGGAGGTGGTCAGTGGCAGCGAAACTAAAGAGTCACACAGTGACCCCAGACAATAAATCAACACAGTCAATGATCATCGGGTCACGGTCTGTATGGAACCTCAATAGTCCGTAGGAGACATTCCATCTCATAGATAACAAATGGATGACCACGTGCGCGGCCCTACCCAACGCGTAGGGCCTAATCTCTGGCTATCATACGAGTTCTGCGTTTGATGAATTTTGAATAGGCCTTGCAATATAAAAATTGCGAGATATAGGCGTAGCACTATAGAGATAAATCTATATAGACGTTAACCTTTTCGTGCGTTTCCGACTACGGACTGAAAGCACTTTGGTTAAAGTAAAATAAAGATGAAACACCCGTTCCGTTGACTCCTATACGTCCAACTAAGTCAACTCGTACTGAAAGTAACTTTGCACAATTTTAATAATTTTAATGTTGAAATCTTTAGAAGTATACACTATTACGCTGCTAAGTGATAAAAAAATTACTAAACATTCACAAAATTTAGCTATTGTTACCCCTGCCCTTAAAAAAGTTCATGTTTAAAGACGTCTAGATTAATATAATACATAAATATACCCATCGAAGGAAAACCTGAGGAGAACTCTCATTAGTGTAACGATGCGTAACTTGCATAGCACAACTAAAAGCAGTTGAAGCTTGAAAATCGGGAAAATTTTTAAGTTTCATCTACTTATAAGTTAAGAGACTAGTCTCTAACTTATAAGTAGAACTTTAGTACTAGTACTAAAATAAAATAAATATACAAATAAATAAATAAATATTATTATTTGCAGCTAGATTGAGATTTTTTATCCCATGAATTATAAATATTAGTTTTTTTTATAAAAGTTTTTGCTAATAATTAGTAATTATAAATATGATAACGTAAAAACTATATTGACGACAAAATATAGTTTTTACGATCCTTTTTCCTTTTCCTTTTGCTCTGCATTTACGCTATACTAGGTACCTAATACATATATTATTCTGATAGAATAAACATCAAACCAATAGCGGTATTCGTTGAGATCCATCTTGTTTGCATTAACGAAATACATAGATATACATAATTATGTGTTTAAATATAAAACTCCCCTTATTTCGTCTGGACAAAGTAACGGGTATAGGAAATATAACGTAATTTACAGTAGTCATCACTTAATTTCATTGTTTTTTTTATTATGCGAAAAGATGTCAAACGAGCAGACGGTTCACCTGATGTTAAGTGAATACCGCCCATGGACATCTGCCACACCCGAGGGTTACAGATGCGTTGACAACCTTTCGAAAATTGGGCTCCGGCTAGTATTTGTTATACTTCCACTTTACGCTGGTCTTCCGTGAGGTGGTGGTACTTACCCGGACGGGTCTGCCCATTCGTGCAACAGCCGAGGGTGCTGCGTGGCCCTACCACCGTAAATAGAATAATTCTCCTTCTTAATAGAGATTAACATTTCAGATAAAAAATTATTAGCATTTCTTGAATTAGTCTACACAAAGCTGTTACTATTATTTGTAAAAGACATTTTCAGGCAGAGGCTAAAAACAAAAATATTTATTGTGGGTATCGTCGACCGTTACGTTAAAACAAGCTATGACTTCACGTTTGTATGCTGATTTCATTTGAGACAATAGGAGCTTTTGAAAATGTGGAAAATTATTTATTAATATTAGTGAAAATTTAAGTTACAATTATATAGTTTCTTAAGGTCTTTCATTATATAGGTATATATTATCGCAAATATAATCGAACCCTCCGGTGAAACCCTCAGTCTTCTGATAAAAAGTGAAAGCACAAGGGTTTTATATTCGTAAATATTAAATTTAAAATATATAAAGTATACTTATATATATAGGTATAATTTTATATACCTATACATATAAAATACATAACCAATCGACTAATTAATAGACAAAACATGAAACGTTATAAAAAAGCTTTATACAGGTGGTATTAACTAGTCTAACAAAATTAAATCTATGTGGGATGTTGAAAATTATTTCGAATGGTTTCATCCGATCGGTTCAGTTTCGTTACACATCTAATTTTGGCGCCAACATTGTTATTGGCGCGTAAACTCCGATATGTATATGGGTCAATGAGCATGAATTCCGTTGCACTCGTACTTTCATACACATCAGGTTCATTATTTTCAAATATGATTGTCGCATTTTACGTGTAGGGCTCTAAATAAACTAACATTCTCTAATTAAGTTAATTGAAAAATGTTCGGATAGAATTAATAGTTTAAATTTTCCGTTATAATTTTTTATTGTGGTTGATGTTTAATTACATTTAAGTTTAGTTTAATTTAAAAAGTAAGTAATTTCGATTCCCGATTTCCGATTCTTTATAAT